CTCTTTAGTTTCCGTGGTTGAATATCAATATATATATTAAGTTTTTCCTGCTAATAATATTATTATTGATGTTGTATGTCTTAGATTTAGAGTAAAAGCTAATTTACATGTAAATACCAATAGCCTTCTTAATTAGTACCACATTAATTACAGGACTGATTTAATCTACTAGAGTTGTCGAATATTTTTAATTTATTATTTAACCTTTAAAATGAATTATTATTATTAGTTTTTTTTATAGTTATTATATTATATATATTATTATATTATAATAATATAATAATATATATAATAATATATTATAGTAAACGCCTCCCCTTTGAATTATCAAAGTTCAAAGATTTGTAGGATCTTACAAAGTAAGAAATTATAATAAATTACAAAGTAAGTTCTGTTGGAAAGGAAAAAAAAAAAACATTTTCCGCAGAAGGATCAGTAACGTGTTTGTTGAAATGACTGTTTTCTCTGTCAGTGATGTGTCACTCACACATGATGTAACAGAAACTTGCCGCGGGGCTTCCCAGGAGCTGGGACAATGAGGCAACACCATCCAGGATGAGGTTGGATTGACATGTACAGTACACAGCATGCACTCAAGTTCTTACACATATTCTCTCCAGTCACTTCACATATAATTTGTTAATTTAATTTAATTTTGCTACTGTTTACCTAAGAAACTAATAAAAATAATCTTTAGGAAAACATTAGGCAAAACACTTCATCCCAGACAACAGTAACACCACACCAAATAATAAAAATGTGCAGTTTTCATTGTAAACAAAAGAATAGAGTGTGTCTCTGCCTTTCAACTTCAACGCTGTTATTTCCGAACCCTCCCCTGACTGTCCTGTTCATTATCTGTTATGGGTGATGTCATTTCACATGCTATAGGTATGTGTTAACTACACAGCACCTCCAGAAGTCACATCTCCCTGTCATCAGATTACAGATCAGACATACGTAACTGTGACACACACACAGTATCTGCACATACCTGTCTACTATCAGTAGACATGTGAATAACAGACTTGAAGTTAAACATCACTCGCTGTCTCGCTGGAGTCATTGTCATTGTCTCTGGCACGAGGTGATACTGATAAAAAATAAAACCATTAGCAACGTCAAATACTGGGGCTAGAGTGGTGCTCTAGTAATATATATACACTGTATATATTGTCTATATATTCTTATATACTCTTACTATATACTCTTAATATATACCTATATATATTTATATATATGTATACATATATATAGATATATTGAGCCAATGTCCAATTTGACAATCCAGCTGTCAATCAAACCCCACATAAAGTCATATCTACCTTAGCTGACAAAGTCACTTTTATTATTTGCAATCATTTGACACTATGTTCCATGCAAGGTCTAAAATGTGAGGGTTAAGATCACCACGGTGAGGAGGACTCAGTCCAGACCAGGGGAGAACCCCAGGTGTTTTACTTCATGAGCTTCACTATGCAATCTTTTCTATAAAACAGAAACAAACGCAAGTAATCAATGTTGATAAAATCAGAAAATTGAAGGCAGGTCAGACCAAGATTGTCAGAATGCAAAGATGGACAGAGGATTTGAATAGAGAAGCTTAGCCTTGTCTACACACACACGTATGTACACACACACAGGCCTGCCTTTCCAAACAGAGAAAACGAATGTGTGTTTGCAGCCACAGCTCTCTGCTGTCTGCTCTCCTGACAGACCTGTAGAGCAGGCTTCTGCCTCTCGTATCCTCTGCCAGCTGGTCTGACGGGAAGTCAGTCTCACTTACTTCACATCTACCAGGTGACGCTGTGGGGGGCGTGGCCTGAAAGGCAGCCGTTTCATTCGTTTAATTGCACCTCCGAAACGACAATGCTCCCATTTTTAAACTGAAGTCGGGAGGCGGGCTGTCGCAGAAGGTGTGTAAACTTAAACAAGCAGAAAAGTTCAAATAAGACGTGACAGCAGTGCCTGGCCACAGGCCGAGTTAGGCCATTAAAGCCTGAGTACACATATTTTTATTAGCCTCTCCACTGACATTCAACGTTGTCGTTTCCTGTCAAACGACAAAAGGAAGACACAAACATAACTCTTCAACAGGAAAACTGGTTTCTGAGCAAATAAGACCATTTTCTCCCCAAAGAAAAAGGGAAATGGTGGTTAGAGGTCAAAACAGTGTCAGTCTTCACTTCAAGATAGACAGGTCTATGAAATCATAAGGAAATCACTTCCTGAAGCTCAAACATCTTTAAAGAACAGATGAGAAAGGAGGTTTAGAAAGAATTGTAAATAACAGACTTAGTCTTAAATGAGCACTAAAGCAACAGTTGAAAAGAGTTCCATAGAGCTATAAATGTTCCTTTGTGCCTCGACCGGTTCTGCAATTCCACCCAGGAGAACAGCTTTAGTCTTATCTGTCCTTCTGTTTTCATAAAAGCGAACAGCGTTAGAGCAGCTGACATTGACAGAGTTGGGCAGTCAAATTTCTAAACAGACTCTGTTAAACAGTGAATAAGATTGAAACATGCATTAGGAAATAAAATAAAATAAATTACCACCTCTAGTTGTCATATTTTGTTATAATCCTGGTTTTTTCCCACCAGGAAAATGTCATCTTTTTTTAAAAAATGTGATAAAATTGTATTTGGGTACGATAAAGAAACCCTGTGCTTTTAACTCTCTTTTTGACTAATTTCTAATAATAAAACATTTTTGGGTTGACTTCTATTTACCTTTCAGGTACATCCATTTGAATTGCATTTAATCACTGCCATTTGATTAATTATAGTATCAAAAGGTGGAGCAGTTCGTCCACAGAGATATTGACATTATGCTAAAAAAGACAGACAGACGGTGAATTGGTAACTCAACCCGAGCAACAGGAACAATGTGTTTCAGCAGTTAGAGTCCACATTGTAGGCTCTAATAACAAGCGTGGCCACAGTAAACTGATATGTTTATGATGTAACAACAAAGTATTACCTGGCCATTAAGAGGGTGAATCGCTCAATTAAGAATATGCCTGTCTGGAAAATATGCAAAAATGGAGGTCGGACAGACGGAGAAACACATTTGTGAATACACACACACATAGAGACAAGTTCATTGAGGACGTAGTGACCAGTAAAACTCAACGGAATCTGACGTTCTCAAGAACTCGTTTCAGAGAGGTGGGGATTCAGATTCAAATCCAAACTGGCATCAAGTTACACCTGCCTGTATGAACCAGTAAGAGTGGATCAACTGACGAGAAAATATAGTGTGATCCCGACTATTACAGCAACTGAAAATAAAAACAACAACAACTGAGACTTCAATAACTACCAGTAATCCTCACCATTTATCACTCTCAAATTTCAATATTAGACACATATTTGATTTTTATTTAATTTTATTTGAGGGTCCGACCCCCCAAGGTGTCTGTCCAGATATATTCTGTCCCTTCGACAAATGTAGTTGGTGACCCCTGCTTTAAAGGGTTATTATCACAGCAAGAAAATCATCGACTTGGGCCCAGGTAGAAATGTTAACTGTTCACTCTACTGACCTTAGGTATGAATGTTAGCCTCAATAGTTGTTTGTCTGTGGCTTTGTGATGGACAAGTAAAGAGTACTATTATGATTGGCTCTAGCTTCCTTCATAACCCTGTGTGAGAGCGGGTGTGTGCCGTCTGGGTTGTAGAGAGACCCTCCTCAGCTCAGTGGGACTCTAATCCATCCTCTCTTTCACTAAACCAAGAAGGACTCACACCCTTAAAACCTTAAGACAATTTTACACGGTCACCATTAACAGAACCAACTATGCGTCTGACTTTCTTTGCAGGTCATTAAACAAGGGAAAATATAAAATGGATAATATTTCTGTGGTTATGTTTCTTCACAATCTTTTCTGTATTTTATAGAGCAGGTGGTCTCAAAGGAAAAGCTTTGATGAAGTGCCATATTTTATCATTTTAAATATGAATCCCTCACTGGATACACATTAGTGTGCATTATAACTTTGAAGGAATGTCCACATGTTTCAGTTATCAGGGCATTCTTTTTCATGCATTACAAAACAAAACAAAAAACGAAGCTGAGACTTTCAGGAATGAGGAGTTAATTCAGTGCCTGTTTCTAACATCAACATCGGCCGTCACACAGACGTTTGCTGTTGTATAAATAGGGGTCATTTACTGTCCCCAGCACTATTGTATTACTGACTGTAATTAGTCCACACCTGAAGAAAGTCTGTTTTTGCTCCACCAAACCCCCGCTGTCACTATGATTTAACACACAGGAGGTAAGTGACTAGTGATTTATAAGGGCTATTCAGAGGCCCTGAGGTGTTACTCCTGGTCACTCCCAGGTTTTTTTGACCCTCTGCCTCTTTCCTGGCTGTTTGACACCTTCAGAAGGGACTATTATCTTGTCAAGGGAGCACGGTTCATAGCAGAGTAATGCTTCACACCATTAAAAATCACACCCTTTTGCTCATTTTGCCATCCTGTGGTGCGGAGAGTTCACACACAGGTCTGATCAGGAGTTGCAGAGGGTCGTCAAAAGAGTTTAAATAGATGGGAAGAACAAAAACTGGTGGGAAACGCAGACAGAGAGCAGGTGAAAACAAAGGTGTCTGAACATTCACACTAGTTGTATTTCATCTCAATGACTAAGAATTCTCACCTGTAAAATAATAAATATGTTCATGTTTCTACAACTCTACAAAAAAACTGTGAAAAATAGAAAATAAAGCAAATAGGTGCATTCTGAAATTAAATATTAAGTTTAGCAAATTCTGCAGTTACTTAACCAAATAAAGGGACTGTACTTGGTTTGATCTACACAGCACTGTGTGCAAATGTAAAAAATGGGGAAATAATAATAATAATAATGTATTTTATTTCCTATCTCCTTTCAAACATTTTGCAAATCACAGAACATAACACCAAGGTTCATCACAGTAACATAAAACATGATTCGATGCAAGACTTAAAAACAAAATGTAAAATATGAGTTTTGACCTGAGACTTGAAAGTAGGCAGGGATGTTATGGTATGGAGATGTTGAGGCGGTGCGTTCCAGAGTTGGGGGGCAGAATAGCTAAAGAGGTGAGAGCCACAGTAGACGGATCAGAGACTGGGGGGAGGGAGGGAGGGGTGAGAGAGTGTGTAAAGTAGAAAAGAAAAAAAAAACTAACTGAAAACAACTACATAATAAAGTTTTATGCGAGTGCTGCTGCCCTCTACCGGCGAAGTCGAATACATCATCATGTCAAACGACCAAAATCAAACTTTCTCTTTCTGAGCGTCAGCTAAACAAAAGCAGTACTTTTTCAAAACGGATTTATTGGTTGTGTTTAAGTGAAACATACTCAATTTAGAATAATTCAGTTACATTTAAATTAATAAAAAAAACACATTACAAACTTGGCAAAGGTTCTATATTGATTTACTTACAGTGAAATATTCCGTTAGCAGTTGCAAACACATTATTCAATGCCACTTTTCAATTTATGAAACTAACACAACACAACTGAAATACAAACAAAAATGCACATTCTAGCATAAAATAACTATATATTACTATAGTGTGGCTTAGCTGCTTTGTTAAGAACATCTTAAGAAAGAATTACATAATGAATGTGTATAATTGAATGGGGCAAAATTAATTAATTTGGGTTTCCTTGAGTATTAATAGGAAGATTAGCAGAAAGGGGAAAAACAAGACATGCTGTACAACTGAGACATTACAATTAGCTTATGTGTCATGGACACTTTGACAGAATCTCCTGACAGCTTCTGTAAACCTTCATCAAACAGTTGAGCCGAGGCTTTGAACTCTGAAAGTCAAAGAAATGAGCACATTGGAAACAGTTTACTCTAAGTATTTACACTTTCTTTAAAAGGTGTGAAGAGAAACAACCACATGACTGAACACATAGTGCAACTTGTCAATTTCCCATGTTATAAAACTTTTTAACTTTCAGTACAGGATATATTTTCACACTGCACTTTCATTCTTACCTGAAATAGCGGCACAACACTGGACACTGCATCAGGGTCTGAAGGATCTTTCAACAGTACACAAAGGTAGTAGATGATTTGATGCTAAAATGACACAGAGATTGACCATCAATCTTCCCATTTTTTTCTTCAAATTTCAAGTGTAAAAAATTATGATTTGTAAAAATTACACTGACCATGTATATTGCTTCATTGATCACAATATCCTTGATTTTGTTCAGTTCAATGAATGTGGTCGTTTCGCGGCCTGAGGCATAGCTGGACGACATCTGAACTCCCAGGGAACCAATGATGAACAGGGTCTCCTGTTCAACTTTCACTAAATGGACGTAGAGCATCATACTGACCAGGGTGATGAGTATAGCACTTGTCAGAACAACTGTGTCCTACAGTAAATAAAAACACATTCAAAGGTTTGTGTATGGACATACAGTATATAAATTCAAGCACTTGTCAGAACAACTGTGTCCTACAGTAAATAAAAAACACATTCAAAGGTTTGTGTATGTCTATTTATAGACATACAGTATATAAATTCTACATCACATCAAAGCATATATACAGATCAGGGTATTCATGTGGATAAACGTGTGTTACTAATAAAATTGCCAGTAAGTTTTTTTTATCGTGAATGAATTGTAAAAGAACAATAATCCTATAGGTGTTACTAAGCTTTCTTATATTTTACCTCAGTGAAGAGGAACACAGCATAGGCCAGGAGCCAAATACTGCAGGTGAATACAATCACTTTGGTGACGGGCACTTTAGGAGAAGTAACGGTGAACTCCCTACAAAATGTGGAGTGGCTCTGACAGTCTAAAAATATGGGTGTGCCATTAATGTCAGTGAACGACTCGCCTTCCATCGTACAGCTGCAAAAACGGAAAGATGAAATTCACACAGAATATTTTCTTAGCTGGAGTTGAAGTTAGCACTGGGCTAACATTAGCAACCTGCCGTAAACAAAGAAGAACCAGATACAGACTACAGGAAGGTCCCTGGCACGAAAGTCAACTAAATAGTACTTCGTAGACAAAGCTGAAAAATACACCAATGTAAACTTAGCTGATATTACACTGAAACTGAACATGAAATGAAACGAAGCGTCAAAAACTTGTGTACAAGAGATTTTTTTTTTAAATGAAGTGACACTCGTTAACTTTATCGGGACGGTCCGATTTAATTCAGTTGAGGTAGTTAAGATAGGAATGTTGATAGAAGCAACACAAGTAAATGTTAAACACATTTTCAAAATATGAAATGTGAATTACACGAAAGATCAGTTAATTATAAATCTTACAGTATTTGATGTTGGCACTGTAGTACACTCTTACACATTAAGCGCTGTTACCGCCCTCCGACGGTGTACGCTGGAAGAAAAATAAATGATACCACACAGAAGCTGGGTACATGGAATTCTGGGTTATGCTGTTATTTTTTCCGTGTGGTTTATTTAGCCGCTGGAACATCCTTTGTTGAACACGTGTGAAGCACGTATGAAGACTATAATGGAACATGTGTACTATGCACCAAAGGCACTACATATTACAGAGAATACAGAGCTGTCAAAAATATTTCATGAGACAGTTTTCGCCTTCACTACCCAAGGTGCCTTTCGTGTCTGACGACTTTTGACCTCCCGATAAAAACAAGCCGATCAGCTGATGTAAAAGCAACAACATCTACGAGGTCTGATGAAAAACATCTCAGTTTAGTTACTTGTTGTATGTGTGCCAGTGGATGTTTTGTTAGTTAACGTCCGATTTAAGTGTATGTTGAAGTAGCGACCTAGGCGTCGTTGATCCGACCAATATCCGCAGCCGGGACAGTGAACTAAAGGGAAAGGTTGCGCGTTTCTTTGTGTGTAGATGACTGAGTATTTGCTGAGTGAGTTTCTTATAGCGTATTATAGAGCGTTGTGACGAAGGTCTCTTTATTCGGCAACGTTGCTATGTCGTCATAATGATAATGTGAAAATGCAGGTCGGTTAGTATGAGTTAACAAACTGTCAGTCAAAACAAAGAAAAACACGGATCTGGGCATATTTTCCAGAACTACTGCCTTTGGTATATACTAGGAGATATTTTAGTGGCAGAGCCTTTTAGTGGACTTTTTAAAACTATACAGTGTTTTAGAAATATGAGCAAAAAAACTATAACGTGTATAAAGTGTTCACCATTCCCTTATCTGCCATGACCCTCTGTCTTCTACCTGAACTAATTTTGCAATCCCAGATCTTCTCAGCATAGCGTTGAGTCTAGTGGCCTCAAAACCAGGGGTTGTGTCCTGGCCTGTCAGGGTTAAAATGAGTGCTCAAAGTTCAGCTGTAGATAAAGGTATGAACACAATCCTTGTGTGTCAGGAGAGCTACGCCTGTGGAGGTTCTGATGAGGCTGCATTCGAATGTGATGAATGTGGCAGCCTACAGTGTGGTCGCTGTGAACTGGAGCTCCATCGACAGGAGCGGATGAGGAACCACGACCGGGTTCGGATTGCACCTGGACACATTCCTTTTTGTGACTCCTGCAAAGGCGATAGCAGCTGCCCTGCGGTGAGCGGCGGAAGGCTACGAGCTGTCGTTCGCTGCCAAGGTTGTAAAATCAACCTCTGTTTGGACTGCCAGAAACGTACACACAGTGGAGTCAACAAGAAGAAGCATCCACTTACAAGTTACCCTCCAGTCAGGGATGCCCAGGAGAGCATTATGGCAGCTGGTGACTCACAGATGGAGATCCTGAAGGCCAAGTTGGAAATGGTGAGAAGCTTCCTGTTGGTAGATGAGAAGGAGGACATGCAGGTGAGTGTGAGAGAAATCTGATTTGCATGTTGGTTCATGTGATGTTATGATGTTACTGATTTTAAGTTAACTCTCAGGTGAAGGATGAGAAGGACTTTGTCAGTAGACTGGGCTGTGGACCAGATGAGCTCCTTAAGGTCGTCTCTATCTTTGGGAACACCGGGGAGGGGAAGTCCCACACCCTGAACCATACATTTTTTCTTGGAAGAGAAGTTTTCAAGACATCACCCACTCAGGATTCTTGCACTGTGGGCGTTTGGGCAGCTATGGACCCTGTGCACAGTGTTGTCATCATTGACACAGAGGGACTACTTGGGGCTGGTAATGTACCGCAACTGATTTTCTCAATATCACAAACAATAAGTGAATATTCATATTAACAAGGTTTTAATCTTCCTCTTTACTGCAATCATAAGGAGTCAATCAGGGACAGAGAACCAGACTGCTACTCAAAGTCCTGGCCATTTCTGATGTGATTATCTACAGGACTCATGCTGATCGTCTCCATGATGATCTCTTTAAGTTTCTTGGTGATGCATCTGAAGCCTACCTGAAACATTTTAGCAGAGAGCTCAAGGCAACTACCAATCGCTGTGGCCTGGATGTCCCTTTATCCACTCTGGGCCCTGCCGTAATAATCTTTCATGAGACTGTTCACACTAAACTGTTAGGAGCAGGTACAGTAATGGATCCATATGAACTATCAGTATTGTAGTTCAAAGGCGTGCATTAGCAAGTGTGTGATTGGAAACTTTAATTACCCTCTCTTCAATTATTTATCTTCAGACAAGCCATCAGAGTCAGCTGAGCGTTTGCTCCAGGATCGCTTTAGAAAGTTGGGTCTGCTTCCAGAAGCTTTCAGCTCCATTCAGTATCGAGGAACTCGGACTTACAACCCTCCCACAGACTTCAGTGGTTTGTTACGCAGCTTGGAGCAACAGCTGGACAACAACACCACTCGCTCGCCGCGCTCTGCCGGTGTCATCTACAAGGCTCTGCAGGTTGTGTTGGTAGATTTTATGTGATTGATTTAATTTAAGTTCAATATTTAACTCTAAATAATTTAAACCTATGAAAAAACAACTACATTTAATGTTAAAATCAGACCAAATTAAATGTTCCAAAAGCCAGGTTAAAATTCTGAAGAATATAGTCAAATGTCTGAACCCTAACTTTAAGAACTATAGAAAAAATTTGATGTAATTATAATATGTTACAGCTGCCAAGCTTGTATACCTAAAGTAAAAAAGTTCTGTTTTACTGTTCTTGTTGCCTTTTTCTCCAGGCCCTGAGTGAGCGATTCAGTGGAGATATTCAGGATGAGCACTTTACCAGTAACTCCTTCTTTCCAGATGAGTACTTCACCTGCTCTTGTATCTGCCTGAGCTGTGGGTAAGTTACTGGTATTCATCCATCCTTTTATCAAATCTGAGCAAAAGAGAAAAACACATTTGTTTTATTTGGCAAGTAATATATAGATGAAACTGTTATATTATTATTATTATTATTATTGTCATTACACACTGTCGCTGGTGACATTTCATTTATATGTGGTCATTTCTGCCAAATTCCCTGGTGTGTTTGTCTAATTGATGGTTTCACTTTGAGCTCTGGCTGTAAGAGAAGCATGAATCACCTGAAGGAAGGACTTGACCACGAAGCAAAACACCGCTGCCGCTACTCTGCACAGTACGACAATCGCATCTACACCTGCAAGGCAAGGACAAAGACACAACCCTACAGATGCACGATACAAGAACTCTGTAAAATGTGGTTCTGATTGCCTGTGCTGAACTCCCCTAGGCCTGTTACGAGGTGGGGAAAGAGGTAATCGTCGTTCCCAAAACGACAGCCTCCTCTGACTCACCGTGGTTTGGCCTTGCCATCTACGCCTGGTCTGGGTGAGTTTGTCTGCCACAGAGCCATTTGGAAAATTATTATGAATTGCTTATCTTTCAATGCAAACAATTTAAAGTGACAGTATTTATTTTGGAAAAACTCAACAGGAACCATGTAAAGTATGGTCAAGATGTTAAACTAAAACCACTTGGCTGGTTGGTCTAAGGTCTTTTTTTTTTTTTGTGAAGGTATGTCATTGAGTGTCCCAACTGTTCAGTGATCTACAGAAGCAGACAGTACTGGTATGGCAACCAGGATCCAGTAGAAACAGTGGTCAGAACTGAGATTCAGCACATCTGGCCCGGGGTAAGGCCACAGTGGAAAATCCTTCATGATCTTTGGTTAAAAATAAATAAGGTTTCAAATCCAGAACTTGAAGGAGACTTTTAAAGTGTGGTGAACAAAATGACACATACTGTAGTCAGCGCAGCAGCCAGTAACCAGTCTGAAACATGGAGGCTTATTCTCACCAGAAACATGATGAGTGTGAAATTTATACCATTTTAAGACGATGCTTGTTTTTAAACTGAAAGCTGAAGGTGGCAAGTCTACCTTTTTATTTCATTGTACCAAATTCTGAAGACAAAAGCTGCTGAGAACCAATTTTACATGTTTTGTGTCAACAATGAAAGGAACCCTAAAGGAACTATTTATTTTGCACCTTCCAGTGGTTATCTTGTTGCAGCAGATTTGCTGTTAACACAACAAATTCCCCACTGGTGATCAGTAAAGTTTTCATTATTATCAACAATTGTTTAAGCATCTGTGTCTGTGTTTTAGCCTGGTTCCAAAAAGCAGGTCATAAGCTGCTTTTTTCGTTACTACAGCAGAGTCAGAAATGCTGAGTCAATACACATAAACACCTAAAATAAATTATCCTACAAACTCGGTTATTTTCCCCCTTCCTTTTTTTTTCATTTTTAAGTCGGATGGCTTTCTTAAAGACAACCACAATGCTGCTCAGAGGTTGCTGGATGGAGTGAAATACATTTCTCAGTCAGTGTCTGATCTTAGCGTCAAACCTGCCAAAGCTGTCACCTCATGGCTCACAGACCAGATTGCTCCTGCCTACTGGAAACCCAACTCTCTTATTCTGGTATGTAACAACCATCACAATCAAAGTAAATATTTAGGATTGAGTATATGCAAGTTGTTGTCTTTTTATTCTTGACAAAACTTGGGGAAAACGGACACAAACCCTGTCTTTACTGGCTTATTGACTGGTGTTTTATTATCATGTATTCCAGAAATGCCATAAATGTGCAGAAGAGTTTCAGCCCAATGACACTAAGCACCACTGCCGTGCGTGTGGTGAAGGTTTCTGTGATGCCTGCTCTTCCAAAACCAGACCAGTTCCAGAGAGGGGCTGGGGCCTCGCACCAGTCCGGGTCTGTGATGCATGTTTCCAAAACAGGGGAATTCCGACAGGTACTCTTGGCCTGGCCAGAACCTCTCCCAGACTCCTTTGTAGAGTGTTGGATCATTTATGTTGATGTTTTCTGTTTTTTCTTTGTTGTGCAGAGTTGCTGGATGCTGCCTTGGAAGACGAAGGAGGAACACTGCTAGCCAGGAAAGTTGGAGAAGCTGTTCAGAGCACGTTTGGTGCTGTAGTCGGTGCTATTGATATACCGCTGGGTGAGCATTCCTGTCTAGTCTCCTTTATCACAACTATATCTGAATAAATCTGTTTCTTATGGTGAAGACAAACCTTTCTGTTGTTGTAAACTGTGGTTGAGGTCGGAAAATATTTGTAGTTGAATAATAAGTACACTTTCCACATCTGCTCTGCAGATGGTTTGTGTTTCATTTTTTTGCATGTCAACTCCTCTGTCTCAAATGCCCTGTTTTCTGAGAATAAAGGTCAAGAATTTAGGAATACAGCGTTTGTGAGCACGAGCAATGTTGTTTTCCCTTCTCAATTGCATGACATGCCAAAAACACACTTTTCGTCTCCACAATATTCCGTATTATAGGAATGGCAGAAAGAAAAGTGAGAAAGAGAAAATAAAGGAAGTGGCCACAGTTTAATGCAACACTTTTTACTTCCATTCTACCTTCTACTTCTGTTGTCCATTGTCATAAAAAAAATCAGAATTCTTGATAACTTTACTTTTAAACTAGCTCTATAAACTTGTTATTTAATGAATGAGATGTTATTTAATAGTTTCAATTTTCTTACTGTCCAGGCCTGGTGAAAGATGCAGCTCGTCCAGCGTACTGGGTCCCAGACCAGGAAATTAACTCCTGCTGTGAATGTCAGAGGGAGTTCAACCCGCGCCTCTCCATCCACCACTGTCGTGCCTGCGGCCAGGGCGTTTGTGATGACTGCTCCCAGGATCGGCGTTCCGTGCCCTCCCGTGGCTGGGATCATCCAGTGAGGGTCTGTAACAGTTGCAAACAGAAACCAGGGGATCTCTAGCAGTATTCACAGTAAAAAACAGTTAAGGAGGCCCACTTCTATGACAACTGGAATTATCATTGTAACATTTAGAGGCTTTTCCAGGCTGCTGCCTGTCTTTTTTCAGGTTGGACTTGGTTTTTTTTATGCTGTCCTGGTTGTCTTTTAGTCTCTCAATACTTCGTTTTACAACAACGCACTAAACAATGCCTATTTTGGACACTGTGAAAACGCCAGTAAGAGGGACACTTAAATATATACAGATATGAATATACAGCAGAGAGATTAAGAAAGGGAGGAATATTACACACCATATACTAACTCACGTTTCAATTCAGGTAAATATCTGTGTCCCTTTAGACCCTTTTACATTAATAGTGAGTAATAGTGATGTATATGATAAAAACCCTTTACTCCTAACAACTTTTAATGTGTGATATGATATGCTATTAACTGTAGCACCGTTGTGGACTGGGCATACACTTTATGAAACCTATGAACTTAAGTACAACGTTCCTGCAGAAGCTGACGTCACAGTTGCAGCTAAAAGAAATAAGGGAACAAGTCAAATTGTATTGTAGTTGTCCTGACTCCAGCCCTATTAGCTTTAGCCTTAATAGCAATCCTTTACAAACCAGAGTCCTTCATGTGATGTAGAATCTAAAGGCATTCCGCCATATGTACTTAGTAACCATAACTGATGTAATCACTTTGGATGTGGTGGCTGTTACATTTAAATGGACAAATGCCATAATGAGTGACTGGTTAAATATATTTTACAGAGAAAAGGAAAGGTTTACACGGCAATATTTTTTAAAATGCTTTCAAACGCTGTGTTTCTTTCTTTTAAAAATATCTCATTATATTGATTGTAGTTAAATAATATGCAAACCACACAGAGGTTCACGGTTAACATGATGCTTAGGAAAAGAAAATGCACTTCCATTAATCCTTTGAGGCTGGCCCCTCAAATCCAAAAATATTAATAATTACTAAAAAAACGATAAGCTTTTATTCTGTTGCAGCACACTTTCAAAACAGTTGATAAAACTATGAAAAACATCTGTAATTTGGTTATGAACATAATGTGACATAATCTAATCAGTATAAAAGAAATGCATAAACAAAACCTACAACACTCCAGTAGGTGGGAATGTGCTAAGTTTACCCATTAGTCACATCCCTTTCTCTACACTTACACAACAATAATAATAAGTTTAAATTTAACAGGTCTGGATGCTGTTGTTTAATTGTCCACTTTATAATGTGAGATGATAAGATTTAAGACATTTTACATAGTGCACCCCGTAACAGAACTGTCACCGTATTAATCTAATGAAATATGAAGTGGTTTCAATCTACCCAAAGGGTTACTTACCGAGTGGGAAATCTGGGCCTGCTTAGTTGATACAGATATACTCAGGAATTGACGAGACACAGGGAGATCTTCAACAGCCAAATCTCTTTGTTTTAGTTTAAATAGCCATCTGCTGCCACCTAATGGTGGAATATTAGTTACTCTTCCTGTTACTGTGGCACAGACAAAGACAAATTATTTAAATACGTCGTCAGAACAATTAAATGAAATGGAATGTATTTTACAGAACAACAATGTGGTTGGGTCAAGCACATTAATTAGGAGTTTCTGCGATTTTGCAATACTTACTCCAATACTCCTGAAAATGGCCACACCAATAACCTCTTTGTTGCTTTAGCTTTTCAACTATCCTGTTTTAAGAACAGTATCTTTAAATTGACAGATGATTCTTTAGTGAAATTCTGTTCAGTAGTGAGCCACACCTAGACTTTGTTCAAACTATTTTTGAGTGCCGCTTTAACATGGTTTAAAAATTATAGGAAAAAAAAACAAATATATTTACGGCTGGATTACCTACATATTTCTTTCTTCATTGGAAGTAACTTTTCTGAAAGCAAAGCTACTAAGCTTCATTCAAGTGTTTTGATTGATTTAATGGTAAAAGGAAGTTTTGTTTTTTTGTTAACTAAGATATTGGCTTAAAATAATGTGATAATACAATCAGGTCTTGCTCACATTGTTCTTTAAATCAGCTCCAACTCACTTTATTAATTTCTAATTTTTAAACATATTGAGTGGATATTGCATTCATGCACTGTGTCTAATGACTCAACAGTAAAAAAAAAATATAAACATTCTATTCAAATTGTGATCAGAGACACTCTGGGATAAATAGTCAATTATGTCTTAAGCAGGTACACTTCAAATGTAATCATATGCAATATGTTATGGTAGCAACTATATGCAATGCACAGCACTTCCATTTTGTTTAAAATAAAACAAATAAAAAAGTCCCATGAGAATTCAATGTAACGTTTTTGTGTCACTTTTCTACTTTACCACTTGATATCGATCAACAAAAAAACTCCAAAGAGTAATTAAGGAAATATTTGTGTATGAATGTGTTTTCTGGTCGAGTAACACAAGTGTCTCTGTCGTCTTTTTGGACTTTAATGCAAGTAAGTGTCTTCAGTGTTGTAGAAAAACTGGCTGCTGCTCTGCTCCTTCCTGATAGTCAGTGTTATATGGAAAATAGTACAAGTCATGTTTGACGGCCATCAGCAGGCCCGGCAGCCCCCTGCTGCCTCCTAACTTGGAGGAGAAAACCACACTGGGGATCTGGTCGTTTGCAGCCGGATGAGGTGACGGGATTGTCCGCAACAGATGGCCGTCCTTCAGGCTCCATAACCTGGTGTAGCAGTCTTGCCCCACTGTGGATGGGACACAAATACAATGACAAATACAATGTGGATTTTTTTTTATTTAACTCAGTAATAAATAAGCTTAAATAACATGTTATATTTACCAGCTAACAAAAGTCCCTCAGCTTCGTTGACATGAACGGGAAGGTAGGCATGTTCATTATAGTGGCCTTTGTACACCTGCACAGCTTTTGTCACCCGTACATCCCACAGTTTTATCTGCATATAAAAGAAAATTTAGATCGATTGATATTATGACAGCAGCACAATGGAGACAAGCGGTAAGTAATGAAAACCAGAAGGTCACAGTTTCACATCTCAGCCTGAACAGAGAGCACTTGAATTCCATTTATAATGAAATACATACAGTCGCCAAATCAAACCTATTCCTGTGCTACAGTACTATAAAAGAACAATTTTTACTTATGTTTACTCTATATTATGTTGTTGTTGTCAGTGCTATGTTTGACAGTTCTAAAGAGAACCTTTACCTGGCCTTGCATGTCCGCAGCCAGCAGATAGTTCTCATCCTGAAGGACGCGAACAGATGTGATGGCCGACTCTTGATGGAAGCGACTGGCTTTCCAACTCTGATCCCTGCGGCCTCGCTGTCGCAGGTCGATACTGAAGATCTCGCCAGACCTGCACCCGTTAAACAGCACAGGGACCTGGGGGAAATGAGCGTTCATTATTTTCCTCATTTCCTGCTTGTGGTGATTCTTAATCATATCATAAAGATGTCAACACCTCACATGCTTGTAGCAAGGAAAAACACGATTTAATCACTTTTTTCTAAATTACAACTCACCCTGAGGGCAAACTGCTGAGCCAAGACGTCGCTGCTTACACTGTATGTCTGTGTTCGGCCTGTCTCTGCATCTTTCATAATCACCCTGCGAGACAGACCTGCCAACACATGTAAGAAGAAACTTCTGTTATATGCAGATAATTGTGTAGAGGTGTGTGTAGCTGTATTATTTAGAAAATTTACCAAAATTACACTAATTACAATAGTCTTTCGTTACACCCCCTAAAAACACCTATGTAAATCAATGTAAATCATTTTAATAGTTTTTTTTTTTAAATAATAAATGCTTCAGTTAGTCATTTAAGAACCAGGAATTAAATGTACCAGCTATTCACACTGTAGTATTATACAGTATTTATATTAAACACAAAGTATATATTCTAAAATAGATTTTTTTTATTGCACTGAACATCTAGCAGAGGGTCAGATGTGACCCTCAATGAAGATGTTAACCTGTTGTTACCTTGGGAATTAACAGCAACTCATACACTCCACCATTCAGTAGGTTACATTCTCAGCTAAAAATTACCTTCCAAATCTGATGTTAAATAGTCTTTAATTATCAACATATAGTGAACATTTTTATTTTAGGTGTTAACAGTGTTTTTTCTAGAGGTAGAAGATAATCATTTATTATTAATAATTACAGACCAGTGCTGAAGGTCTTGTCAAACTGAGGGTTAAGACACCAAGCACAAGACCAGGCTGTGGAAATCTTGAAACTACACAACATTCCAGGTTGTTCTGGGGAAAGAAGAAAACAAAAACAGGTCCAAAAGTATAAAATAATATTATTTTTTTGGACAGACACAAATGTTTAAATTCAAAATATATATGTGAGCTGAATATGTTCAGTCTAACCTGGGTTAGAGTTGCTGAAGAGGGAAGCAGGAAGCAAACTGACACAACCAGGAGTGTCTGCTACACCAACCAGACACAATCTGACACTTTTAGTCAAGGTAACTACAATACTGAAGAAACCAACAACTCAGAGAAACAAATGATATGAATGTAGAATCACAGTGTAACCGTGTCAATAGTCCTGCATACTATCAATGGGTTTGACACACTTTCTCCCTTGCACTGAAGCTTATGATGGATACAATACATGGGAGTCTGCATAATTCACTGAGGCCCAACAGATGGAGTTCACCTGAAACACATAACCCAGTGTCAAAAGTGTCAATCACAGTTTTATCACATTTTAATAATTACAAATATTGTTCACAGTACTTATATATAACAGAATATTTTTTGTTTAATATCTGTACAGATGTATGCTTCCTCACCTTGCGGTTGGTGAAGTAGAGGTTATCACACATCTCTACAGACAGAGAACCTTGGCTGCTGCTGCTGAAGTTCATGATGCCGTATTTGCAGCCTCCATGAGAGACATCATTGACTGTAAATACTCTCTCACATGCTGAGTCTCCCTGAAAAAACAAAGAAGATGGGATGGACATATAAAAGCCATATCAGGGTCATCAACATCACAAATAAAATAAAAACAAAAACAGTTGTGGCTCCAAAGTACTTTAGTAGTAGTTTTTTTTTTTAAAGCAAGCATTCTATGTACAAAAGTGAAACATATCATTTCCTCACCACTATTAGTCTGAAGTTGTCTGTGTTAGAGCTGCTGTTGTCAGTGCTCTGGATCTCCACTTTGTGGCGCTTCATTGAACCGACCTTCACCTCATGGATTAACCTGAAGATAAAGTAACCATGGTTACACCAGCATCCACCAACAATCCATAGTGACAATAATGTTTCCTTTTCCTTACAGCGGAATAATATAATATTTACACGTGTAACAAATTATGTACACAAAGTGGTGGGAATGCCTTTGCCCTTCAATACGTGAGCACACGACAGTATAATAGCAATACCTGCAGTAGGAATTGCCCTGCACCAAACCAAGGTGTCTTTTCTGTACGAGTAGAGAAGTGTTCAGTCCTCTCCTTGGCGCCTTCTACAAAGTGAACAACAAAATGGAATGAAACCCATCCAGACATACAAGTTTTTAAGCATTATTAAATTATAGATCAGAGAGTTAAAAAACAACGCTTCTCTTTCCTGTCATATATTTTGCAACACTTAGAATTATGCTAAACATAACAAGAGAATTAAAGGAAAAATAATAGACATACTTTTCTGGGATTTTCATCCTCTTCCAACATCTTGTTTCTTTGACTCTCCCTTTCTTTCTCCTGCAACTTCTCTCTGGTAAGTGGGTTGCAGCAGTTATTTCCAGGCAAAAGTCGGAAATAACGATTTTTCTCCGGGTCAAAGTAGAAACCAGGAAGTTCTGTCAATGATATTAGAATCCTTACAGCAGTGCGTCAACTCCAATAAAAAACAACTAATAATACGTTCACGAATTCGAATCTATGGCACCAATATGACATAACTAAGTTACATCAAGCAGTCACTTGGAGTGATGGAAAAATATACAATAGTCTCATTACTTGACTGCTGATAAACGTGGTGCACATACCTGGAGCAGCACTGCTGGCTTTGGTGGAAGAAGACGAGGAGGAAGAAGAAGAGGATGAAGAGGAGGAGGAAGACGAAGACGCCGATGCTTGATTGTCATGTGTCCATCCTGCATTACTATGTCAGCAGCCGTGTTGAAACAATAAATTGATCAGTTATTGACTTGTTTATTTTACCGCAAAGAACTCACAATTTATAAACACGCATAGCATTTCAAATGTATTCCAACGCACTCGTCCTGTGTTGATCTGTAACGATTATTTCTGTCCCAGCCGCGCCGTTGTCCGCCCGATCTCTGTCGCCTGGACGGTCGCTGTCCTTCTCTCCAGTTCCACTTCTTCATTTTGGAAGTTCTGGACAAGAATTTTGCTTATAAAACAATGTCCTCACAGCAAGCTTCTTCAGACTAACTTCCGCGTCTCACACAAATTAGCAGAATAGCTCCTTCCTCTTGAATTCAGCTGCTTACACGTCTACATGCTTTACACAGGACATCATACATGCGGTTATTAAATTATCGAGCATACATGAACTATTTATTTGATATGTTTTTCAAAACTGAATTAATAGTAACCCTTTTAGCAGGTTAGACACGAAACTAAAAACAAAATGAACATAATATCGCAGCCATGTTGTCCCGTCACACGGTCTTCATTGGTCTATTCACAACGTTTGACGTGACGTAAAAGATGTTCATTGGTTAATCACTCTAATACCGGAACAAGAAATGAAATAAAACTAAATATTGTCTTTGAAACTATATAAATATGAAACATAGCAACACGCGACTGATAGTTTGTCGCGTTGGTATTTGTGAGCGAGACCTGAACGCGAGAAGAGCTCCATTTCAAAATATATTATATTTGTTAATATAGAAATATCCGTAATAAAAAAATGCATTATTCCAAAATAGATGTATATATGTATATATCCTCTCTCTCTCTCTCTCTCTATATATATATATATATATATATATAGAGAGAGAGAGAGAGAGATAAAAAAACATTAAAAAAAAACATGTATATCAGAGGTCTGTCACCAATGTTTGAAAATAAACATCTATTATATATGCAGAATATAATAATGTAAGAACCAGGCCACACATTTTGACAGTTTTCTTTGAAGCCACGCCTCATGTCGTGGTGCTACTGTTGTCATTGGTAGAGAGTGGAGTGTCCAGGACAGCGCATTGGCTGCGGTGTGTGTGCATGTGTGCGTGCGTGCGTGCGTGTGTGTCTGTCTCTGTGTGTGTTTTTCATAAGGGTCCCAAACTATACCGTGATTTGGAATATTACAGTACAGTCGTGCACCAGGAAAATGGCGGCTGTCATTCATAATCCGCTAAAATCGTGAGTATTATCTAGATATTCCATGACAACAACTGCATAGTTTCATCACATGCGGCTGCTGCACATCAGATCAATATAATGTGATTTCGCGGGTTCATTATTGAACCACAAAATGCACACGTTCATGTGCTTGGACAGTCCGTGTCTGGCTGTGTCTGTCTTATTGTGCAGGCACCCACTGCTTGTGCTGTTGTATATTGAAATATAATGCATGCAGTTGTGCACAGCCTGCAGAAAATCCGTGTCCAACCCGCGCGTAAAGCTCTGCATTTCACAGCCATGGACTTGATTCACTTTATGATCAAGTTGTTTTCGTTTTGCTTTTTTTTATAAGACATCATGTTTCCATGTGGTGCTCTTTTTGTCTGATTTTGCAATGATTATTACATGCAGTCATGGCCAAAACGAAAGAGATAGAGAGAGAGAGTGAGAGAGAGAGAGAGAGAGAGGGAGATAGGATAGAGTGGTGCTGTCAAACACATGCACACAAAGCACACTATACAGCACTGACCTTATTTCATGCCATGTATGATGAATCTGCAGTGCAATAGCCATTAGAAATGCGTGCAGATATATCCTGGTGACATATAATAACGCTGATCTTGACGATCTGCACAATAGCGGTTTGTAGAAAAATGTGCATCGGTATATTTTAAATTTGGCAGCCTTGTCAGAATAATACAGAAAATCCCTTTAGGCTCACAACTAAAATGATTTTATAAACATTGATTTATTTTGACAATACTAGTGAAGGATTTTTTTTAAATATATTTTTGAACAAAAACATTGCATGATTATCGTACATACATATTACTGTATATATATTACGTACATATCGTACAGGACAATATCTTAACTGTGACTGTTTAAAAAAATAGTGAAGCAGGTTGTGATGTAAAACAAAATCTACAGTAGTGTTAAAAATATTTAACCCTCTACTGAGTTTATACAAAAAATCTATTATTAATGGAATTTGTAAAATGTAGAAATTATATATTTATATTTAATTCCTCCTAAATATATATGTAAACATGTGAACCCTACAGTGTGTACCTTAAATACTTGTGTTCTCCGTTGGCTTCACACTTCACAGTTCATGTTTTACCAAAAATATTATGTGAAACCTGTATTATGCACTAGTAAGCCACAAAAAATTGTATAAAGACATTGTAGGTATATGTGTTTTTGTGTGTATCTGCAGTTGTGCATTTAGAAAAGCAGATTAGTAGCGTCCCACTATTCTCCGGGGTCCATCTGTTGACAGAGGTGAAGAAAGAGTCTGGTGAAAATCAGGGTGGGAGCCCCATCTGCCTTTAATATTTTGTATTTGATATAAGAAAGCGAAAAAAAAACACGGACGACTGCATACACGATCAAGTTTGGGATGTAATTAGATGAGACTGTCTAATATTGCATGTGAAAGATTGTGTTGGGGTACGTGAGCATATATCATGTAACATATGAGTTACTACCATGGGAAATGATGTTGTGGTCTACTTTTCCAGGCAGGGCAGTTGTGTGAGTTCTCTGGGTGAAACAATGGAATGTACTTGTCATCTGTCCTCAGAATGTAGCTGGTAAATCATGTGCAGCCAATAAGGACATGTTGTGATGTAGCTCTGCTCTCCTTCTACCAATACTCAGCCCCTCAAAGATAAATTACAACCATCCTGTAGCTGGCAGTAAATACGTCTGGGTTTCCAGACTCACCCAGTTCTGTTTAAACATCCACATTTTCTTGATTCAGTTCAACTCACTTTTTTTTTTAATTTTGAAAGCCTTCTTTGTAATCAAATGCAGGAGGCAGTGCAGGATCGGGTCTAACGATGAGCTGACATGAGAAATATTCAAATGAGTGGAATAATTCATATGCCGAGACTCATGTATGGGCATCTGATGTGTCTTTTTCAGCTTCTCCCTTGTCATTTTGCTTTGGATTTACAGTGAGCTGCAAAACTATGGTGTATATTGATTTGACTGGTAAAGCTCTTTACTAATAATGGGTATGCAATATGCGATGGACAAAGGAGGAGGGTCAGCGCATTTGGGATTGTGTGTTTTTATTGTGTATATTTGTTACATGTGTGGGCGGTTGTGCAACCATGCACCCCTCCCCCATTTGGCGTGAGTAATGGAGGTTGGGGTGTGTGTGGTGGGGTGGTGGGGTGTCTGCCTGTCTGAATTTACTGCATACATTTATACTACACCCTCAGCACTGGGGTGAACCCTGGCCTTTGTCTATCTGAGGGAATGAGAATGTGGGGGAATGGTTTCCAGGCGTGGGGAATTAAATGTCCAGAAACATTCCTTTTTAGAAAGCTGCATGCAGGGTTTAGTCCCCACTTTCTCTGTTCTGCTCCTACATGGCAATTTTTTCATCATGAATGTTTGTTTTTTTTCCGCTTTGCATCACGCCGCATAAATTATTCATTACGTGTTTTGTTTTGATAGATTTTCCCATACTTCCCCAAATTAACCCATGCTATATTGAAATGAGTTATCGTTCACCCCGTCTCCAGTTCCGAGTCCTTCACCTCATTTGTGCTGAGTGTCTTAGACCCCCCTTTCTCACCCACCCACAGTAAAATAACAGCAGCAGCATCTGAATCAGGGTTTCTCCTCTGCAACAGCCTTTCCTCTGCGGCTGATTGCTTTACCTATTCCCTTCACCCCCTTTCCACTGCACCTTGCACCTTTCCCTTTTCTTCCTTTTGTGTGTTTGTACACTGACACGTGTGTGTGCGCGCACATGTGTGTATATGCATGTGTATGTGTGCATGTAAGGCAGATGCACTTGTGCACATTCACAACTTGCAGAGAAAATGAGTGTGACAAGGTTTGAAAGAGAACACGTGTGTGCCGCGGGATACATTGGACCCCTCCTCTCTGCCACCTCCTCAGCTCCTCCTCCTTTTCGTCCTCCCCTGTGTCTCCCTCCTCTCTGCTTCACTCACTCCTTCGCCTACTAGATGTCACAAAGAAGCCTATCAGAGTGTGCCCATATGCTGTTGCTTTGCTCTGCACTTCCTTTGGGGCCCCTTACTAATTCCAAACCGAAACTGAATTTCATCTCCTCTGACTATACACCGAAAAAAAAACCCCACCATTCCCCGAAACTGTTACTTTCTAAGTGGTGGTCAAAAAAATGCAAGCTCTGTCACAGAGGTGTGCCTGTGTCACCTGCTGTATGTGGTTTCCCCTGAAATCATTTAAAACTTATGTTTGTTAGCTTTAAGCTTTGAATCTGTATATGTCAACATCACGCCTCAGGGACAATTTTGGATGCATTTATCCATTCATTAATTTACTTACTGTAAATAGTGAGGTGGGGGGTCCCAGCAGTTCATTGCAGGGCCACATATACTGGTAAGCCAAACAAATATCCACATTCTAACTCATACCAATGGTGTAATTATAGTGATCCACTTACACAAAACCTTCTACGAACCCACACTCACTCAGGGAAAACATTCTAACACCTCTCTGACTGAGGATTCAAACTTGTGATCGTCATGTATGGCAAAAGCGCTAAGCCCCCTACCACTGTGAAGCCTGCATATAACCATAACAATTACATATATGGCAGGGTGTTGATTAGCGTTTCAGTCGTGCGAGACAATTGTAAGATATGCCTATTTAAATTTCCCGATGCTTGGTGTCTGCAAATTAGTGGAAAGATTAGTCACACATTCATGCAAAGACAATGTCAGTCGACAAGTTGAACTGTGAGCAGATTTTTCTCATGTAAGATCATTTGTCAAAGACTTAAAACACGCAGAATTAATAACAAAAACATGAAGCGTGACTTAATGACAGTGATCTACTGTTTAAATAATTGGCTTATCAACTTGACAGTAATTGTGTAAGGCAAGAAGGCGCAGGGTGTCAAAGTGAAATATGTGGGTTAACATTGGGGAGAAGAGTGAGAAGCGTGACAGTGGTCGCGGACACTCAGTAACAGAACATTAACTCATTCAAGAGTGAGTGAGAGAGTTTCAATCCTCATAAAGTTTATGAAAGCCTCTTGGATGTGTGTACGTGAGTGTGTTGTCATGTTAGAGCACCTGTGTAAGACTGGTGAATCTCTAAACAGAAAACAAAGAACTAATTCTCCTTTCCTCCTATCCCTTCCTCTGTGTTCTCCTAACATCTCCTCCCCTCTTCCCTCCTCTCATCTTCCTTTCCCTGCTCTAAGCTCATACCTGGAAACACAGACCTGTTAATCGTAGAATCACCTTGGGTGTTTTTACACTTGCTCCCTGCGGCCCTTAAAAATGAACTTGCTTTGATGACTCAGGACTTTTCGTGGATATGTGGACACACACAAACACACTCAGACCTCCTTTAAAGTGAACTGAACCAAGACCACGAACTCAGACGACACACAAGGGCAAATATAGAAGCAGACATTTTGTCCCCTTTAACTGTGAGCGATATTGCAGAACATGGAAAATGAAGATACACATGGCTATTTATGAAAATAAGTCAAAATGTGAACACAAGATTAACTAAAATTTAATGTTGGTGGACTTTGTGGGTTGTGTTCACACCTGCAATGTTTGCTCTGATAGTGTGGCTCACTTAAAAATGCATGAATACCGTCAGCATCTCATCCAGTAAGTGCAGAGAGGCTGTGCAGTGGATTTGTGTTGTTAATACTTTGCAAACTCTGCTATGGATTGTTTGACCTGTGAACTGTGAAAACAGTGGGCAACACCTAATTGAAATAAAGACACAAACAGAGTAGCCTGATGTGACCTGAATGGAAACATTACAACTGAATTATAACAAAAATACAAGCACCGTGGAGCAACAAATAGCTTAAACAACCAGCCATGTTTTGGAAAATCTCAGAGATTTATCACAGTGGCGACGCCATTTATTACATCACCTAAGTGATTAAGTGGCCTCTTTGGTCAGTTGAGGAAAATGCCAGTGTGAGCGTCAAGCATGCCAGTACTTTGTCAGTAAACTGAACTGAATATATCATGCATTACTCTGCTGTACAGCAAAGGAAGCAAAAATAATTCTTGAAACATCCCAGGAAGATTGAGTGTTAAGCTTTTGAAAACAGCAATATATAAATACATCCCAAAAGAACTGCCTTACCATCACTGCTGTAATGCTGCAACTAGGGCAGCCACCTCATAGATATAGACTTACATAAGTGAAATGACTGCGGCCGCCCAGCGATCGACTTGTTGGTACAAACAGCTCAGACGGTACTCTCTCTGACTGATAGATAGAGATAGATAGATAGATATAAATATATCTATAGATATATATAACAAACTAAAGTGCATTAAAACATAATCAAGCTAGTTTAGTCAGTATCAACTGTTCATTTGTGGTCATCTTACTGGATTTTCTTCTCGTGTTCTGAGTTCAACTTCAGTTAGCATCTACAGGGCAGCACTTGATTAGTTATTTTCCACTGTGGTACTTTAGCTAAATCATAATTGGACAAATGTGGCAAAAATAACCACTGCTACAGAGGTTTGGCTTCTCTGAGAGTCAGTGAGTAGTGGGTGGGTGTGGACAAACTGTCTAAGAGTTAAAGCCATATTTTGAGTGGTTACTTTTTGGAAATAAATAAGAAAATAATATCACTAGAGTATATTTTCTGTGTTAATTTTATGCAGAGTTTGAGACAAACTAGAGCCAGTTGTGTTTAGGCAATAGAGTCAATGTATATCTATATCTATAGCTATACATCCATATATCTAAATCAGTATGTATATTTATATATTAAACTAAAACTATTTATATATTTGTTTTATACCATCTTCTATCTTTGTAACTTTTACATTAAATTTGATTTGATTTGATTGGTTATCGTTCCCTAAGTCTATTTTTTTTTCTGTCTTTGTTTGCTTTTATTGTGAATCCTGAGCATTCCTTGTTTAAAAAACAGACCAACTGCCACTGCTTTCTATCATATACCATAGATTTGAATGTGGGCAGGGCCAAGACTTGATTGTATCCGGACAGGCAACTTAGAGAAATGTTGTTGACATTGACACAAATTTGCATGTGCACCTCTGCACCCTGTCTCCTTACGTGTTTCTCTTTATGCAAATGCATTAGTGGAGGAGTGCCACACACACGTGCACCGGCACACACTCTTTAGTTCAGGGAACAAAGAGTGACACTTGAAATAACACTTTACTGTAAGTGACGTGACAGACAGTCTCATCTGGGGGTTTGGATACGACCAAATCACCGTGTCTACTGTAAGGGAGACGTAGAACTAAAAACACCAGCTGCTCTCCTCATTTCTGTAAGACTCATGACAAAAACATCAACCAGCTAACTGCCACGTGTTTGATTCTTGGTATTATACAGAGCTTACACTGTCTCACAGAACCAACTGAACCAACTGAAATGCATACACCAATGATGTTTTATTTATATTTTAATAAAAGTGGTGCATTCATGAATAAAATCCTCATAATATCCTTACATTTTCTGAATTTTAAGTACAGTATCAGTTTTTTTGCAAGTAGATCCCTTCACAAGATATCACACTGTCATATTAATACAGTAATGTGTAATTTTAGACTTTAGCACAAGTTCTAGAAACAGCTGCATGACTCCTCCTAACAACAGGGCACAGTTGGACATATTTAACTGGCTTTTTTCCCTTTTGTTTAGAACCAAGAAATTGAACCATATTTGCTCATACATTGAGGTTCGTTAATAAATCATACATTTACATTGAAGTGCATTATCTGTCTGTTTCTAAAAACCTTCCACTCTTCCCACACACTTGTACAAATGTGGCTGCAGACACAAAAAGTCAGGGTCTAATTATATTTACTTCATGCGTCAAGTTTTTAATTTACATTCTTTGTAGGTTTTTTTTTTTTTTTTTTTTGCAAATGCACTGCAACTATCATTACTGCTGTAGCTGCCTCCACATCAGAAATCTATGCCTCTCCTCTTTCCATGCAGTACCTGGTTCACTCTGCCCTCCTCCACTTCCCCTTTCCTTTTCCTCCTCCATCCAGCCTCCCGTTCACTCTGCTCCCAAACACTGCACATCTTTGTGAGATTTACTGCGACCAGAGTACTGGTCTTTGTCCAACTTGGCATTCTTTACATATCTATGTAGAAAATCTACACAACTCCAATCTCTTCTGCTCAGACGGTCAGAGAGACGGGGTGGTATTGGGTGAAGCAAAAAAAAAAATTCTATTCACATTAGCAGAGAGACAGAGAAGATCGTGTTGCTGTGGGATTATTCTCCCAGATAGAAGAAGGTATTTTAGCTTTTTGTTTTTTTCTGGCCTCCTATTTGTCCAAATTTCCCCAACAGTAATGGCTGTGAAAAGTATAGTTGTTTAATTGAACAGATAAGTCCATTCATCTGACGGAGTTGTATGAATGTTTGTTTGCCTGGCTCTTATCTCAGTGGTTTTAAAATGTTGCATTTAGATGGATTGTGTTGTTGTTAATGGGTTACGTCTTTGTATGCATGAGCAGACAGTATATATAACAAGGGGACACACAGCATTCATCTGCATCTATCAGTAAACTGGAGCTGCTACTAGTCCTCTGTCTATCTGACTGTCTTTGTGTGTGTACGCGTGTGTCTTCACTTGTGCCAAGCCCATCTGTTGACTGGATTTCATATCTGCCTATTAGTCAAAATGGAGATATTTAAAATGTTTCTCCTTGTCTTTTGATTCATGTCATAATTGTTTCCTGTTCACGGTTTTAAATGTCTCTCACCTCATCATACTTACTTATTTATCCACTTGCTGGACATCTTTGCTTTTCCCCTAAATTCAGATCCTCTAATACGAGATTCATGAAATAGATTTTGAACCTATTAACCTCTAGGACGTTTGGTTTTAGGAGAGAATGTAGGACATAGACCAGAGGGTAGATCTTTGAGTACAGAAGGTTAACAATTAATAAATAGATATTGTTAAATTTGTTTTACAACATTTTTTTGTAAAAATCAAAATCAAAAAATCAAATGAACTGTTTGTTCCATGATTAATCCAACAAACTAAAGCAGATCATGAAGAAGAAGAGGCTGGGCATACGGCTGTTTACCTGCTAAACCTTCCCTATTCGTGTGTGTTTGTGTGCAGGCTCGGTGACCAGTTTTATAAGGAGGCCATTGAACACTGTCGCAGCTACAATGCCCGACTATGTGCCGAGCGCAGTGTACGATTGCCTTTCCTGGATTCACAGACTGGTGTGGCCCAGAACAACTGCTACATCTGGATGGAGAAGCGCCACCGTCAGCCAGGTGAGAAGCAGTGCAGCATAAATGGAAGAAATTAATAAAAAACATGTAATTTCTATCAGTGACTTGAGTTTCTGTAGTCACCTTGAGCTTTGTTTTGATTTACTCAAAGCCAAACCAAATTTCCCTGTAAAACCTATTTGTTTACGTTAAGGTGCCCGTGGTGACCTGTTTTTTTCTGTCCTTTGACAATAACAGGCTTTTTCCTCAATACATAACGGGGTCTGAGGCTCTTGACTGTTCCTGTATTTGGTTGTTCTAAGCAGAAATAGATTTCACGAAGTCGCTGCAACATCCAGCTAATGTTTATATAGAAGCGCACTCTGTGTAAATATGGCACATTCATGATTTATATACAACCAGTCTCTGCTATACCGTGAGTCCACAGTCCGCATTCTTCACATCTGGGTCGCCTGTGCAGCCAAAGGGAACAATCTGCTCTCTACTGAGTGCTGGACACAAATAGCCTGCTCTGCATCTCTTATGCAAAGCCATTCAGGCCACACCCTATACTTTGTGGCAGAGCTAACAAACATTATAAGCATGTATTCTGGGTCTAACCCTCCGTTTCTGCTCATGCACAAATGGCCTCCCCCCTTTTTTCACCCCCATTTTTCTCCTAAGCCAGAGAAGGAATATGATTAGAATATAATTACACACAAGAGGGGACGGAACAAGGAGAAAAATGCTGCAAATATTGACAAATGGTGTAGATCTACATGTTTTCATTGGGACAGAAATTAATATTACTGAAAACTATGTCAACACTGGGTGAAAAATCTCCTGCCTTTGTGTGACAAGCTGTTACGGTGTCTGACCACAGCTCAGTTTCACTTTATTTGGATAGTTATCCTGAGCATCAGCCCAGAATCAGACTAATTAGGTGACAGGAAGACCAGTCCACTGGTCCACTTTCTGGGTGTGTGCTCTAAAAGAATGCACGAGATTGTGGAGGAGACTCAATGCAGGTTTTGTTTAAAAAGCCAGCTTACCAATGGTTGTTAAAATTCTTCCTGTGTGCCTGTGTCTGCATGTGTGTGCATATACTATTTATCTCCCTCTCTCCCTGGGTATATGTGTGTGTGTGTGTGCAGGCCAGGCAGCGGGACAAATGTATAGCTACCCTGCTAGATGCTGGAGAAAGAAGAGGCGACTCCACCCTCCTCTGGATCCCCAACTCCGGCTGTGTGAGCTTCGACTAGGTAATATAAACAACACACTTACACGCACGCACAAACACAAACTCACAGAGTCAAGCAGCACGCTGACATTCAAACACAATCGAAATAACCTTACGCCACAGCAGTAGTACCTGAACAATGACAGACTGGTGTGTCTTCTCATCGTTGTGGTCAAACTACCAGCCCTTTAATGCACTCTCGTACGTACAGTCTATTATATTTGTGCCCTTAATGTTCTTGTACAGCTGCACAGAGCCTCAGGCTGAGCTGAGTGGCATTAATGCTCACTATCTGACCATCTGGCTCTGGTTAGCCCCCGTCTCTCTCGCCAGGTCTCCAGGTTCATTCTCTCCCCCGAATCAATGGCTCCTCTCACTGTTCTCTGGCAGTACAGACACACACTTGCACACACATTAAACAGACACACACACACAGAGACACAAGGAGGTATACACCCCCCACACATGACTCTCAGTCTCAGCACACAAGCACCCTAACTGGGCCTCAATAACCATTTATCCATGTGCCATCAGAATGTAAGTGGGGTGAGGTAGACGTGTGTCTGAGAGAGAGAGAGAGATTGTTTAGGGTAGAGTGTGTAGGAATTTTATGTGAGTGTTGATAAACGTATAGTATGTAGCTTCTCTTTCTCTGTTATAAACCAGTGGCACTGATACACTTGCGCACAACTGCTGTAAACTGTAAACTTATTGACGTGGATCAGACTCCTTCCTGGTTTAGGTATGAACTGATCCAGTCTTTCACTTTATAATAATGGTAGATGGCGACCCTAAGTTGCCTTACTGCCATGCCTAAGGTCTGTTTTCCTCTAGTCAACATTTCCAGCCAGAAGTGTTCCAATAGCAGCCTGTTAAAACGACTGACATCACCTTTGTTTGATTCAGTGGTTTTAGTTTTTTTTTGGAAAGTCTTTACTAAACCCCCTCTACAGTTGGGGCTAGGAATCTGAAAACTTGTGAAAGCGTTAGAGATATGGCTACAGAGAGGCTGTACAAATCAGATTTATTGTGTTGTGTGCTTGTGCATATGTGCATTTATACGTAGGTTTGTGTTGTATAGGGGATTTTAGCAAAGGAATTCCCCAGAAACCTAATACTGTGGGGCGACATATAGGCATGTCTTTGTTTCTGCTTTGACACACCATTGTTACTTTGCTGTCTTCCAGATGAAATATAATACTCCAGATTTTTTTTAAGGGAGAAGAAAACTCAATCATGCTGAAAGCACTAAGCAAAAACCAAACAGAAAGAAAACTAGTGACAAACACTGTGTTTGTAATAGCAAAAGAAAAAACCTTTGGGTGAAAGCATAGAAGTCTAGTTTTGTTTTTCTGAAATCCAATTCTGTAGTTTGGCCCAGAAATCTATCATAACATGACACAGGAATGTGAGTGCTACTCTCTCGAGCTTTTGAAAATGCTTTGTGTTTATTTAATGCTTCCTGAGCAAAGATATTTTTTCAGTGTGTGCGTGAAGAAACCATACATAACGACTCTGTTAATTTTACAGAGTTTAAACCATTTTTTGCCTATTTTTTTATGTTTGTTTCTCAAATCAGAGCAACAGTTATTATTGACTCTGTTTTTCTCATTTCAACTGCTCTTTTCATTGACATGTGAGATTTGTTCAGATTGTACAGGGTTAGGAGAGCTTTTCATTTTACGGTGACAGTGACCCCCACAGGGGGTGCTTTAGCTGCTGTTTGAATGCTCTGTTGCACTGATAACAAAGTATGCTGAAATAAAATTTGAGTATTTGAAAATATAACTTGAAATGTACTTAAAATATAACAAAGCAAGAATAATCCACTAAGCGTCTAAGTCATAATTAGTTTACTGGACTTTACTTCGTCACAGATTTACTTAACCAGTGCAGGTTACTCATGACAGGTACCTCAGTCACTTTCAACAGATTCAATGGTAGTGTGTATCACTGCCATTTACCAGGTAGTTTTCCGATCATTTAAACATTTACCCTTAGAAATGTCTGTTATTATACAGTACAGACAGGGGGCAGTGTCCTTGCAGATGAGCACACCACCATACTCTTCCAGTAGCCCATTACTTGTGAATGTGCCTTGTGAATGTCGGTTCATGTGCACATTGTGCGTTACCCTCAGTAAAGCGGGGTTTACTGTGCAAGGCTAGGGATTGTGTCAGCAAAGAGCAGAGGTAAGGAGAAAGCAGTGGGAGCTGGGGGGAGTGAGGGGAGACAGTGTAACAGCACTTGTGTATTCCATACCAGTAGCTAGAGCTTCAGCAGCCTTTCTTTCATTTATGCTGGTATTAGAGTTCAAAGAAGAGGAATGAGTGCCAAAATGAAAATTAAATAGACAGAAACAAAGATGGTAAACAAAAGATGTGAAAGGAGTAGGATATGATTTTCTAGAAAAATCATACAAAGCTTATTGACAATCTTAATTACAATTTTAAAGTCTTTTTTTTTTTATTTGTTTCATGGGACATGATATTGAGCAGCCCGTTTTAGTACGTAGCTCAGCCAACATGTATGTTAACTGTTCATAAAATAATTATACTTATTTATCAAATTATATTATTATATTAGATAAAAGTAATTAAAAATTAAAAGTTGGTGCATTTTAATACAGGATTTTGTTGCTACATCAAACACTTTGTCTATTGTAATAATAATTATTCTCTTTGACTATCCACTCCTCAGAAGCTGAGCTGGCCCCCAAGCGTGAGGTGCCCTCTGGGGAGGCCACAGCTTTGGAGGCCCTTCTGAGGAGCGACAGCTTGCTGGAGAAAAAAAACAATCTCAGTAAGGAGGAGGAGACATTGCTGGAAATACAGGTAATGTTGCTTTTTTTTATTTATTATCAAATCAAATCAAATTTTATTTATATAGCCCACATTTACAAAATACAGTTTGTCACATGGGGCTTCACAGGGTTGAGGTATTAGTGAGGTTAACAAAGGTTCTGCTTGTTTAAAAGTAAACTATGCACTAATTTTTATAAAATATATCAAACTGCTTTCAATAAAAAAGGTTATCATATACCAAAAGAACAAAACTAAAATTCTTTACTGTAATCAGCATACAGAAAACCCAATTTTGTTTAATAGCACTCGCCTTCTACAGGCACAATCAAACACACCATGTATTGTGAATATATAGTGCAGTGATAGCGATTGATCAGAACATAAAACACACACTTAACAGCGAGACCGCAGTTCTAGCTTGAAGTGCAGCACAGAGGCTAATGGTGTTTGCCTTTTTATTGAGTATCTCTTAGAACAAACCTTACCTTTTTTCCTTATGTTCAAATTTGGCAGAGAGTCCTGGAGGCAGAGGAGAACGGCGACGGCTTCCATGATGATGAAGACTTTGAACTGGACACTCCAAAGAGGAAGAACAGAAACAGAGGCAAAGTAAGCATGAGATACAAAAGAACACAACAACCTATATTCTCAAAATAAATACTTCATCATCATTTGCCTGCTGTGACCCCTCCACCCCCCACCCCAACATGGATCTGTGCCTCGGGTGGTGCGTCCCTCACTTTGGGACCACTGGGCTAGGCAGTGTGTTATTGTTAAAGACATCAGCATGCTTACATGCTTAAAATGAAATATTGGCGTGTGAAACACCAGCAGCATGTCATGTTTCCTTTCAGAACAGAGGATCGAGTCGCAGGAGGACAGATCCTGTAAACAGTGACGACCAGGATAAACCATACGTCTGTGACAGTAAGAGGGAGAAGGAGAAATCGTCTTTCTTTGTGCATATGTTATCAGCCATTCTGTGTTCAGGTCATTTGTTTGTTCTGTTTCTGTCACAGTATGGAATCACTGTGTTTTCAAGCTCAAGGAAGTGGAGGAAAATAGTTCTTTTTACACCAAGCTACAAAAAGAAAGACATGGTTTTTTTTATGTAGTTAAAGGAAACATTTATCTTTATACACCACCTTATCAGAAACATTTAAGACAAAATTCTTCCAGACAAGTCTTTTTTCTTTCACCTTCTAATGAAAGCCCTCCTCTCTTCTGTTTCTAAGAGCAGCATGAAGAAAGAGTTTTCTGTTAATCCAGACCTGACTAGCATGCCACTTACGTACTTGGGAAAAAAAAAAAAAAAAAAAAACAGGAATGGATTGCCATGGGGATGTGGACAGAGATAGAAGTTTTTATTTATACCAACCCAGATCGAGCGTCCCCTTTCGTAATGGGGGAAAAAAAAAAAAAAAAAACAGGAATGGATTGCCATGGGGATGTGGACAGAGATAGCCACACTGACTGAGCCTCAACCCAACGATCTCATCTTCATTTGTGTCTTGTTCTGTCTTTCCTTTTATTGTTTGCTTTTGTGTCTTCTCTGTTCCAGATAGATACAAACAAAAGCATAACTCAAAAAAGGCTGAAGAAGGTATCTGAAACTGTCGCCATGATTGTCTTTCTAGGGTCCATAAACACTTTATGACTGCCATTTTTGTTTATGGGCGTTTAGTGTGGGGATTGCTGACTGAATGCTAATCCTTTGGAGATTTCTAATGCTTTTTAGATGCTTTCTGCAGGAGTAGGCACCCCCTCCCGTTACAGTGCAAGCATTGCATGACACTAACACTACTCCATGTGCTGTAGTGCTTGCCCGTTGCACCAAATGATGCTTCAGCAGCAGCGTAGCTAACACAGGATGCATGTGTTTTTAGTTGACTCTGTAGCTGATATGTGATCCACAGATGTTGCCATTGTAGAAATGTTAGCGTTTTATCGCTAATTAATTAACAAAGCAGTAGTTTTATGCCATCAGGGTAATTGGTCACATCTAAAGAAGCTGAAACACAGTTGTCTGCAGGGCAGGCGACAGCAATGCAACTATAGCCAAAGAAACACTTCTATGATGGCTACAGCTTTAACACATTAACTGTAACTTTGCCTTTTATATCCAAAAAATCCAAAGATACTGTATATAATATTTCTAGTAATATCAGTTATAAGTGTTGAACTCACAGAGATAAACACGTAACAAGGACAGCAAGTCTTAAATACGATAAACAAATTAAATACTCACATTTTATGATATAAGATTAATATATGGATGCACTTGACAAGCTATCTATTGAAAAATCGCCTTAATTTTAAAAAGGCTATTACAAATGTCAATAGCCCATAAGGTATAGCCAATCTGTGGCGTATCAATTGGTCAGTTGGTTTGCTATTTTACCACATGGGGGCAGTGTAACCTGAGATGCGGGTATAAACCTTCATTAAATGTTAGTGTTTATTCACTAGAACAACATATTCATCACTGGACTTGTTTTTCAGGAAAAACACAGATCCCATCACAGTGGGGAATTATTTTTAGACCATACACCTTTTTTGGTAAAAGGTTGATTTATTATTGAAAAAGTAATTATCCTCCGCTGAAGGCAGGTCATAAAAATTATTAGAAATGATGAGAAAAATCCCAGCTCATTTAAACCACATTCACGGCCTGCTCAGGATTTGAAAATGTATTAAAAAATAAATAAGTAGAAAATAGGGGTGTGATGGCACTTGGCTCACAAGATATCCATCTATCTGTTTTTGGAATGGTTTTAAGGTTTGGTTGTCCAATACAGGCACAGAAACAGTTGTAATATGGATTATATTTTATTCTTCATGTATAAAATGACAAAGATTACAGATTAAGTTGGAATTCTTAAATAAAATAAAAAAAAACACTGTTGGCTGTAATGTAATTCCAAAGAAATACTGACATCAGAAACACTGGTAAATATCATGTTAAATATTTGGCCATAAAAACAAAACTCAATTAGGTAAAAGAAAATATGATTTGGCTGTAATGTCATTTCACATTAAGTTAAATATCCCTCTGATAATAATTAAGCAACGATCATTGAGTGGTGTTTGTCCCTGCGTGTTTTCTGCAGAGGCTCCTGTTGTTCTAGTTGTTTTAGGTAAAGTCTGACAAGATTTCAGTCAATCGTTCGTCCTAAACCTCGCGCTGACATTTCTGTGTTTTCATGAAACATACCTCCGCACAGATTTCGTGCATTGTGGGAGATCGATGCAAACGAGTGAAGCCAGTTTTGAATGTTTTCACGTGCCGCAGCTGCGGATCTGCTTCCGGATTTACCAACAAATCGTCGCAATGCGATTCTGTCTAATTGGCTCTCTTCTCCATTTGTCCCGCCCTAAGATTACCTCCTTTTGATTCGTTTACCAAAGTGTCCATTATATTTCGTACAACGAGGTCTCGTCACACCCCTAATAATAATAATAATAATAATAATAATAATAATAATAATAATAAACAGCAAGCATTGTATTGCACTTTCTAAATAGAAGAAATATTTGATCCACCGTCAGTTTGTATTTGTTAAATACTTGAATGACAATCTCGTTTAATTAACAGACATTACCATACAATCAGAACTATCATCTCATCGGTGCCATCTCGCCCACTTGTATTGCCTGTGTGGTTATCATATTACTGGTTTAAACTATATGATTGGTTTTTAAAAATTGGCTATGATTTTTTTTCATATAGTTTTTTATTCACTGTATTGTGATGAAATATGAACTTTATATCAGCTGTAATAATTCCAATAAATGGAATCAGTGAGGCAGTTTATTTGTCACTGACCCATATGTGTTTTTGTTTTGTAAAATACTGACAGTGAAATAAATGATAGTGTCTAAAACAATCTTGTCCTCTTAGCTGATGCTGACAGCTCATGCTTTGAGGCAGACTTCAAAATGACACTGTACGAAATGATCTACATGTTTCAAATAAACCTGTGATATTTACCTCCAGTCTGTGGAAAGCGCTATAAGAACCGACCTGGCCTGAGCTACCACTACACCCACACTCACCTGGCAGAGGAAGAAGGTGAGGAGGAGAAGGAAGCCGAGATGCTGCCGTCTCCTGCTCACAGTATGGACAACCACAAACGTAAGGCACCACCTCAGATGTAAGATTCCACGGTTCAGTTACAGACTTTCCAAATTTAGTCCAACGTCCCATGGCCTTATACTGTCAGAAAATATTTATATGCTTCCTTATACGTTCTCGTTGCTGTTGCAGCTCAGAAGGGTCCAGATGGCGTCATAATCCCCAATGACTACTGCGACTTCTGCCTGGGGGATCAGGACTCCAACAGGAAGACGGGCCAGGCTGAGGAGCTGGTGTCCTGCTCCGACTGTGGACGATCTGGTGAGTCCCCAAACAGTACTTGGAACCATATCAGATAAATAGGACTTCTGATTCAGTGAAGACACTCAGCATTCTGACATGACAGCCGTAGTAGTGCATTTAAAATAGCCATTTAAAAATACTAAGAATAATGACTGAAGATTTAAGGTGTTCTTGTACTGACAGTTGAGGCCAGGACACCACTTGAGACACAAGGAAAAGAGTCCATTAAAAATGTATTAAATTACTTAAATTTACGACATTTACATTTTTGTTAGGTAATGCTACAGAACAAAAGCAGTTGTATGTTTTTTTTAAATTATATCTATTGTCTCAAGCTGGATCCAGTTCCAAGGAGTTTAATGTGTTAGTTATTCATAAAACACTTACTAAAATCAGAACTAAACCAACATTATTACTCCTTATAAATAATAAGCATAAATTGGAATAAACTATAACAGAACAATGTGAATATATATATACTCACATATATTTAATATTTGTATAAAAATAGACATTTTAAATATTATAAAAGTGACTTTAAATTATCTAAAATTTCTTTTTTTTTTCTTTTTCAAATTAAGCCTTTGAGAAGTAACACATTGGCTTGACTCATACTTTTTTAATTTTTGTCAACTTCACATCTCATTTTGTTTTCTTTTACTTTTATTTTTTAACAGTCTTATTCATGTGTTTGTTCTCTAAGTTTTTGTGTGTGTGTTTGTAACAATCTTCAGCCAGTTTAAAAAGTGTTTTGCAAATGTGGGTGGTGTCCCAAAAGTGGGTCTTGAGGATTAATTAGATGGGTCACTGGACTGGATAATTCCAGTTTTCTCCAGTTGTGCAGAAAGACACTATCTCTTCAGTCTGATTTTTTTTTTTTAATTTTCGGTGCGGAGCCATTTCAGCATTTTTTACAGAGCACAAATATGGAGAGAGAATGAAAAATAAAAAAAAGGTTATTATTGGATTGGGACATTTAAGGACCAAACCTCTACCTCTCACATTCATAGAAATGAGAATAAGTTGTTAAATTACAGCGTTTGTTGTCAAACCAGGTCTTTAACATACATGTTGGCACAGAATCTTTTCAATGGGTTATCAATGAGCCATGAAGACCATGAACATTGAGGATCAATTCCCGAAATGCCCCTAAAACACGTCATTTAATTGATATTGATTCATTGGCTTTCTCTGCCTGCTTCCATCCTGCATGCTTGTCCATGTCAGCCTCATCCATCAGTAAGCTCTCCTGCTTTCCGACGACATGCCTTCACTCTTTGGTTGCAGACACATCCGCTGAATATTTTAGCGACACATTCGTCCAATCACCTGACCCCAAAAGATAACAATGTGCTTGTCAGCCAGTGAGATGTTTTTCTGCTGCAGTAGAGCGTAGTCTTGTCTTGTGTTTCTCTGACGCTGATGTTTTCATGGTAGCTGGAAGAGGAGGAGTGAAGAAGGATGGGAGGAAGATGGGTGCTGTAGAAGAGTTGGTCGGCAACGCGTCAGACAGCGAGGCCTCTGCATTTCATGGCTTTAAGGAAGCAAAGCTGGAAGACATTTTGTTAAGAAACCGGGATGATGATGATGATGTGACTGGCAGCTGATATCAGGACATAATACGGAGTTGTGTCCAGAAACAAACAAACAAACAAAAAAACATTTTCTGATTTAACACTGAAGGACTGAAGCCACAGACTGGATTACAGTGGCTCAATGTGAAAACACCCACTCCTGAAACAGTCACTTGGATCTAAGTCTTTTTATTTAAAGCTGAGGCCAAAACTATTAGCCCCTTTAGAAACAAGAAAGAGTTTTCTCTCAAGTGCTTTAATGCAGCAAAACAAAAACACAACTTGTCGACATGTTAGCTTCTTTTGGGGAAGCATACTTTATTTGACTTTGCACACGGTAGCTATTTCAAAGAACTCTAAAATGCCAAGGTCAAAAATATAAAAACCCCTTCAGTTCTAATTGTCCATTTTCTAAATATCAGTAGGAAGAAACTTCAGCCAAGTCTCACAAGAAATCTCTGCCCATTCTGCTTTAGCTTAAACTCATTTAGATTTCATGAAGCAAGGTCTTGAATTCAGATGATTCTGTTTTAACGCCGAGTGCCTGAAGTTCTCCTTTAACTCTTATATATGCCACACTCTTCTTTCCTAATAGTTTTTTCCACCATAACTGGATTTTAATTTGCAAATGCACTCAAACATGTCACACTCAGTGACGGTGTTCCTTAGGTTAAAGCTGTCTTCTTCCTTACTCCAAACATGGACAAGATATCTCTGGCCAAAGAATTGTAACTTTGTCTCCTTCGACCAAATAATATTTCCAGAATGTGTTGAGTTTCCTCCAGATTGTTCTGAACACTTCAGGCTGACTTGAAGGAGGAATCTTTCTTTGGTCTTTGCCTGTACGCGGCTCAAGTTGTGGAGCTGGTCTTAAAGTCTTCACTGAAAAGGCCAGACCGGGACATCATTCACTCTTGGTGAATTAGTCTTAGCGTTTAATGTATGGTCTTTCGGACACATTACTTACTAGTTTTCTTTACTCATTTTCTACTTCTGCCACTTTTGTACTGTACTGTGTGGACTTTTAAAGTTTTTATTTCTTATTAATCCAGGTTTTAACACTTTTAACAGAAATTTTTGATAACTTTTTATATTTGTTTTCTGCTTTGTGAGCATTTTCTCAAATCATAACTTTTTGCTTTGGTTACAATGCCTTTTCCCTAAGTGTCAGCTCAAACCCAGATATGGGTTCTTACATGGCGAATGTATTGAAAAATAAATAAAAACATAGCTTTAACTTTATTTTAAGGCATTACTAGTTGACACACATCATTCACATGTAGTTAAAACATCAGCTTTTAAGGGGGCTAATACTTTTGACCTTGGTGGGGTTTTTTGAGTGTCGTGACATAATTTTGTATCTGTATGCAAAGTGACATAATGTAAGCTTCCTAAATAAAGCTTGTCTGTTCAGAAATGCTGTGTTAAAAGTTGCTTGTTCTGTAAAAAAAATAAGTGCTTAGGAAATACACCACTGACCACCAATAGCAGGAGGAGGTGGATTTTTGCATGGATTTTTAAGTAATTTCTTTAGCCAAAGAGTACAGGAAGTGAAAGTACAGTGAGATTCAGACGGCACTCTGCTGTTTGCTGTTTTTTTGTTGTTGCAAGAAAGGAGATTTTCCTCTTTTTAACTGTTCAGTGTTTTTTGTTATCCAAAAAAAAAAAAAAAACCTTCTTAACCTAGATTTTATTCCAAAATGACTTACAAAGCAAACAGGAAGTTAAACTTCTCAGCTCAGAAGTCTGACATTAATCATCATCTGACCACAGTTGGGATGATCGAAGATATCAAGTCTGTCTGGCTGCTGTCCTGGTCCAGATCTATAGAACAGTACGTCATCCTCATCTTTGATTATGGCTCATTCATGGCTCAATGATATCCCTGTGACTCACTGGGGAGGTTATGATAGTGTCTATAGTCCAGTATGAAATAATAATTTTTAATGTTCTTCTACTTCATGTAAATTGATAAATACTTTGGATGTCCTGCGGTATGCGTATAAATCGGCCCGTCTGTTTTAAATCCAATCGAAAGGAAAACATTTTTTTTTTACAACTCAACCATTTTTTTTAAATCTTGGCACCAGCAATTACAGCAGCACTGGATTTAAATAAACCTTTTTTAAACATTTGATGCAAATAAGTCAATCCAAAGCTTTTTTTTTATACGTTTGAAACTATGGCTGTCATGTAGTTTAAGATTTTGTAATCCAGTTAATTATATTCTTTGTAAATAATTATTCCACATCAAACACTGGTTGGGCCACAGAGGTGCACACAGCTGCGTATGTTCATTTGAAACAAAGAGCAGAGAAAAAAAGAGAATGGCCCAAAAGCAAATGCAAAATTCAGCACCTATTTTGTTTGTTTTTTTTCTTTGCTGGTACATTGGTGTATGTTTTTTGATGCTTATTATGTAAATTGTGGTACTATCTACATTTGCACAAAACGTTTGTACATTTACTGATAATGCTGCAGCGCCACCATTCAATAAAAATGAACTGGACTGATATGAAAGGCCTGAGGAAATTGATTTTATATTTTTCAATTGCATTAGTTATCAGTGGTAATTCTACTGTACACAGATTACCAAAGGAAACACTGTACACAGTTCAAAGGTGGTGAAACCTTCATGTGGCCTAAACTGTATTTGCATCAATGTGGCTAAAGTGCAACTACTGTAGTAACTGACCTGCAGCACAGAGGTCACACTGTGAAACCCTGTGAAACCCATGTACCCTTTGAACCAGACAAAGTAAACATTTACCTGGCTGTCCACAGTGTCGCCCTCTGTCCTTCACCTTTGTCATTGCTCCTCTTCGTCCCGTCACAGGTCATCCCTCCTGCCTGCAGTTCACAGACAACATGATGCAGGCAGTGAGGACGTATCAGTGGCAGTGCATCGAGTGCAAGTCCTGCAGTCTGTGTGGTACCTCAGAGAACGATGTAGGTATCACTGAGCAGCGGAAAGACTTGAAGAAGCCTGGAAAAAATAGCATTCCACAAAGCAATTATTATCATATTATCATAGTGTTCAATGGATGTTTCAAAGTGCATTATATTCTGTAAGCTGCCTCGAGAAAGTGGTCTTGATTGATTTTCTTTAAGTTGTGCTCTTAAAAGAAAAGTGCTCCTCTATTAGGACGTATGTGGCTTGACCTTTTCATTTATACATTGTACAATTTCCTACAAGCCATGGCTTTATTTCTTTTAAGTAACGTAGTATCACAAATAGTAGTAACAGTTGTGGCAGTAGTAGTAGTAGATGTAGTTGAAGTATTGTTTATTTTGCTGTAATATCTCTGTTGTTGTTTATTCAAAGAAAAAAAAAACTTTTTCTGACTTTTGATTCTGCCTTGAAGTTGTGTTTTCAGACTTGGCTGCAGTCTGACAGCGAGGTTCATATTTATTCCTCTTCCCTCCTGCATTCTTTTCATCCATTATTCAACATTTTTCTGCCTGTGCAGGACCAGCTTCTCTTCTGTGACGACTGTGACAGAGGATACCACATGTACTGCCTGAAGCCTCCGATGACTCATCCTCCAGAAGGTACGGCTGCAGAGAAATTTCTCATTGTTGTGAATGTATTTACAGTAGGTCAGTGAAGAGATAATATATGGAGATTTTACAAAAGGCTTCCAGAAAAGACCATATATGGGGGTGAGAAGAATGGAAATGAGTTTTTTTCCCCTTCATTCTCATTCTCTGTCTGTCTACAGGGAGCTGGAGCTGTCACTTGTGTCTTGACCTGCTAAAAGACAAGGCCTCGGTTAACGGAGAAGCATAACAACATCCTGGACTAGCTACACTATACACACGTACATCGCTTTGTACTAATCCACATTAACCACAAACACAGAGATGCACACATCAACCCACACTGCAGTGCATTAAAAGTCTCAGGGCAGCTTTCTGCGTGAGGCTCAGAACTCTTTCACTGTGCAAATGTCATCAACGTACAACCTCGACAGTTGGTCAGAAAACAGCAGCTCTGTCGTTCAGCCACTACCTCACAGCTCAGCAAAGGAGCCTCAAATACTCAGATTACTATCCTTCTGTCGTTATCCTCTCTTACTGTCCTCTAAGAGTGTCATTTTAACATCAAGTCCTCAGAGATTTACCAATATTTACAATAATAAATTAACAAAAATAAAATAAAAATCAGTGAGCCACACTGACTGTTTGGCAACATAGGGTCAGGGGGCATGTGTTTTGATAACCCCTTACTCAGCAGACAGCAGCAACACAATTCCACACAAGGTTTTAAAAGGACAATGTTGTGTTTATATTTTGTATATAACAATCTAAGTAAGTGGAAAAATCATTTCTGGCAGTACAGAGATTTCACCCCCAAGGTATGGTGTTTTTAAGATGGATTTTTCATTTAAAAGTGTGTTGTTCACCTATAATTTCTCCCAGAGTGTTTTCTGAAGCAGAATCTACAGTTGCTCTGCTCAGAGGGTGGGGCTCGAGAGGCTTTGACTGATGTTTGTTTAGATTTTAGATTAGTATTTGTCTCTTGTGTTTAACATTTCCAGTGACATTACTGTTTTGACTCTGCACAGACTCACTGTCAGATATGTTATAGTTTTACAGTACAGTACAAAAATGAGTTGAATGTATAATCTCTGTTTCCTGTTTCCTGTGTCCTTGTAGTTCCTGTGACATTAAGGTGCTTTGTTTTACACTCACGTATGTTTTTAAATAGATTTAAATATAACTTTCAACTGTAAATGAACCTGGAATCAGGGGTTTTGGTTTAATGTCACTGAGACAGAGATCAGCTGGGCCTCATAGTTACATACTAACAGCCTGAAAGAGTATCATATCTACTCAGCTGAGCTGGATTTCAGTGACTTGCCAAAGTCTGACTTTTTCAGCTGCCGTGGTAGCATACTAACAAAGGTAAACTAAGGTAGTAAACCCAAGTATTTCCAATATCATAATATTCCAGAATAGCTTGGTTTACAGAGTAGCTCATCATTTCAATATTTAGTCATTGGTCCGTTGAAGTTTTGAATGGGAAAAAGCTATTCCACACACACAAAGATGTTATTCCTTTTCAGGATTTAGTTTATGTTGTTTACCACCGCTCCGAGTCAATGAAACATTTGCAACTTTTCCAAATATCACTGTGTTGAACTCCCTGCCTAACAATGTGTATGAGATGTTTGTTGGTTATTTACGTCACCTTTTGACAGAATAACACATCTGCATTTGTGTCTTGTTATTGTGAACTTGTATTTGACTGACAATCATGAGTTAGCATAGATTCATTAGGCACGGGTTTTATTGTATGGTGGGGTTTTTTAATGACTGATTTTAATCAGCTTTTAAACATGTCGTCAATGTGTTTTTTTAATGTGATTCCAAATGTATGTTGTTTAAGTTTTTTTTTGTTTGTTTTCAAATAAAAGCCCTGCCATAATTTGATACCATGTTCCTGATTATTTAACGGTCTGAGTGTTTTGTAGTGTTAAGTAAATAATAACAGTTTTGTGTGCAATGGTTACACACTGTCAGGAAACAACTTTATATAGACTTTAATTCACCGTCACAACTAAATTGGCAGATTATTTGCTAAGTCTTCAAGACATCTGCTTAAAAACATCATCTTTATTTGTGCTGAATTTATCAGCCTAAATTGCCTGGATATATAATTAGTTCTGTTAGGCAGCCTTTAAAACGTTTTTTTACTAATGAAAATGTCTTAAATAAACCTTTGCTTACATATTGTGACCACTAGGGAGCAATATTAGACCAAGGTTTGAAGCTCTTCTTTTTTAAATTTTGACTTATGATTCAGTCATTCAATAGTAGAGTTATGTGATTGTACATGAATGCTTTCAAACAATCCTAATGTGATAAATACTGTTATTCTGAATAATTAGTATGATTGGTTGGCACACAGATTTTACTGCACCAGTATTTCATCTTTGGATGAAATGGGTGTAGATCGTATACCTTAAACGTATCAAACCATATATTTCAATAATTTTAATATGTGTGTGTGGTTTGCATATGGATAGAATTGTGTGGAAGAAAACTGAGTTTCACCCTGTAATCTGCATTAATTGCATATTCCTCAGTTAAGACAGTAAGGAGAGTAACATGTATTGAAATGTTAGATACTAAATGCTGAGGATTAGGTCATTTACAATTTATACAAATGTAAATAAAAAAACTTAAGGTTAAAATTTGCTAATTTGGTCATGTATTTATTATTACTATTTACTAGAACAGTAAGTGTTAAGACAAACATCAAGTTAAATTAACTTCCACATGACTTTAAAATTCAAGTACTTTAGTCACGGTTGGAGGTTTTCTCTGAGAGTGTATATGTGCTTAGTCTCAGCAGCTGAGGGCCATTCCTGTGACGATGGACAGGAAGGAGGATGTGGCGTAGGTGGAATCCAGAAGAAGGTTCTCCAACATCTTCCTGCCTTCCTCTCTTGTTCTTACTGAACACATGGCATTTTGCCACGTGGGCACCAGTCTGCCAGCTGAGCAGAAAAACAGAAAATTACAATGGCCTTCATTTTGTTTCTTCACAAAATAAAATAAAATAAAAAAACACATACATAAATGAACTCATGCTCCATATTCATGCATCATATTTATTAATCCATGGACAAATACATTTGCCCCACTATTAGCCAGACAGAGCAATGAGGAATAATGTAATAAATTGTAGATTTAATGTAAAATAACACTTTGTGTACTGTGTCATTTTCAAATTTTATATTTTATTGATGCTGTTCTTTGGAATTTTCATATGATAGAATGGTTGACTGAAGTTTCTGTAATCTTACCAAGTAAAGAGTCAATGCTTTGCATCCAGTTGAAGATCTGCAGTATGTGGTTCTCTGTTTCGCTCAGATCAGGAATATTAGGAGCAACGTCGCCCTCCTGTTTACATATAAAAGAAAGAAAAGACATCAAATTTCATGTGTGGATATGTAATATAGTGTGAACATTCAGTCAGTTCAAGAACTGAAGTCGTGTCATCTCATACCAGCAGGATTCGACTTGGAAGAGGAGTTATGAACCGCACAGAGTTTTCCAGGTTGGACTGAAAACGTGCTGCGGCGACGTACTCTGCTGAGTTCAGCCAGCTGTTGGAAAACGACAACTCTGTGGAAGAGAAAAGGTTCCTCCTGAAAAAGAGAAGACAGGACAGCGATGAAGATATGATTCATAAAACTCAGTGGAGTTAAAATCCTAAGTACTATACATTACACTTAGAACACTAATACCTGGCATTGCATCCAGAAGATGAACGGATTGAGCTCGACTGGGCAGCCCAGAAGAGACCTAGCACGGCATCCTTCCTCTCATTTTCAGGCAGAGTGGGATCCGCTGGAGTCACCAGATCCTGTAAACAAATGCACAGGAGTTTGTTCAACAACATCAACTCTCCATCCTTGTAATACACACTGTGTTTATACCTATATAAACATATATGTATATATAAATATATATAGTAGATTTTAAGGCATCTTTTGCAATTTTATTTTATATTTGTCATTTGTGTTTTACTAAAAATTGTAATATCCCAAGTGAGTGTTTTTCAAATACCTTAAAAAAGGCATCCCATTTACTCATGGCATCAGGGAAGCTAGCAGAACAGTCAGCATAGGTGGTGCAATAGTCCTGCACACCAACAGGGATCTGCAGCTGTACCTAATAATAATAATGTCACAAAAAATCACATTTATAATCATTACCACTCATTACTACTTAAAATATGTATATCCCTTTGACAGCAGGGGGCGTTTATTCATTCATATTATTTACAATTACCTGAATTTCAGGCCCCATTAAGCCCTGCTGTGCAGCAGACAGAAAGGGCATTGCAGAGACAAAATAGTTTGCACCTAAAAAAATGTTACATTTTATGGAGTTAGTGTTTTCTCCCACACTTTATTTATTTTTTATATATATATATATATTTGCTCTTTCTCTCTACTTACAGCCCCAGAAACTCTTGGTAGAAATGCACATTGTGTCTCCAGTTTGATGGCCACATGTGGTTTCAGCAGTTGGATCGGCGAGACGACCTGCATAATTCATTAGCCTTGCATCAACAATCAGGTTCATCTTTTCATCATATCTTCTAAAACTGACACCTTACCTGATGTAAGCATCCATGCAAGCTCTAGTGGCAGGCCCCACATGGGACTGTCTGTGGGGTTTGGTCCCATGGTTCCCATGTATGGGTCTGTAGCAGCTATCATCAGCCGATAGAGGGTCAAACGGTGAAGGAAGTGCCATGGATCCGGGTTAACAACCCCATTTTCTATGGGCAGATCAGTCAGTTGAGTTCCAGTGTGCCCCCATAATATGGGCATGCCATTTTCTATCACTGTAGCAGAGCTGCTGAGGGCCACGGCATAGGCCAGGAGAAGGCAGGCAACAGTCAGGCGCATGATGGAAAAGGAAAGCCAGAGACGAGAGTTGAGAGTTTGTACTCTGAACTGAGTTCTGGTTCATATGTGCAGAGCTTATATACACAGCAGCAAAACATGTAAACAAAAAAACAGACAGTTATGTAACATTAACCCACATGACACAGGGACAGTGTGCATATTAGCTAATCCATGTGCCTTTTGAAATACTAGGAAAATAATCAACTTTATTAGGAACAAAGAGCCTCACACATGTTTTGTGTCCTTCATTTTATGTGAGAACCATAATCCACAGTCTTGGGCTGCTTTGCTTGATAAACTTCCTAAAGTTTTAGATTACTGAGAATGGCCAAATAGTTACTTTGTAAATATGTATTTTCCCTAATCATTTATCAACTGTTTAGTAATATAATTTGCACTACCTGCAAATAATATTTGTGATACAAAAAACATTGTTGAAACAATGTGAGATAATCAATCAATTCACACTTCTCTATCAGGTCTAAAGCCATGGTACAGTTTCAATGTCATGTTGCACATGGCTTTTATCACACACTGCAGTTCTAGAACAAAAGGTCAACAGACGATGATGATTGAATTGGCCTCTTACATGCATTGACCAATTGTACTTGTCTGTTTTGTCAGACCTTTGATCAGCAAACGAACCCAGGTGAACGTCTCCATGGTTGACCTACATGAACCTGTAGGACAGCATGTGAAATGAAACATTAAATTCAGGACTAACCACGGATGGCTTAATTTACAATACAAACTACAAGCAGGTGCTTTTAGAATATGCTTTACAAAACCGACATAAAATCATAATAAAACATATTTCAATAAACATTATTTAACTGCAAATCACAATATGTAAAATTGTTAGACTGTCATTATTCACAGTCCTGGTTTATCCATCCATCCATCCATTTTCATCCGCTTATCCGTTACCGGGTCGCGGGGGCAGCAGTCGCCACCCAAATCACATTGCACCGTACCAAACCTTCCTGTGGGTGGTGAGTCCACTGGAAGGTACCAACCGCCCTAACCGGGATTCGAACTTGCCCAGGAGGTGAACCCTGGGGTGTCCTGGTTTATTCTAAAAAATATTACCTACATTTGGTACTTCAGTTATTTTCTCCACAGCAAAATCTCAAAGTAATTACAAAAAATATATATAACATATTTGATATATGCAAATTTTGCTAGTCTTCTATTCTTCTTCTTCTTCTTCTTATTATTATTATTATCACCAAGTCGCTGTTTTTCGGTCACGTGCCCCTACTGCGCCGCGTCATGTGATCGTAGGCGTGACAGAAAAACCCGGAAACAAACTTCTGCTGTAAGAAGTCTCGATAGGTAAAAACAAACTTTAAGTCTTTAAAATTATTATTTTTTAAAAAGAGAACAGCAAGCGCACATATTAACGTAAAACGCGATGTTTTGTTGACGTTTTCTTTTTAAAGGTGGTTAAGATAGGTTTGATCTGAATAAAAGAGGGCATTTGTTGAAGCAAAAGGTATTTGATGCTACGACTTTGCTGCTTCTGTTGATACCTGCTTATGAATCATCAATATATTTGATCCAAGTTAAATTATTTTAAGTCTACTGAAGTGTTTTATTCGTTTTGATTCTCGTCATACGATGCAAATCTCTGTGATTTCCGCATTTTCCCTCCGGCTACTGCACACATACACATTTGTAACACGTATAATTGCATATTTCTAAACATTTGGTTCCGTAGAATCTGCATGTTTATTATTTCCTAGGTTTTATTCCGATCACAGTCTCCGCTGCAGATGTTTCGTACCACAGCCATGTAGTTTCAGTTCTCATGAGTCCACAGCAGAGGAAGTGTGCATGACCGGTGAACAGTAACCCAGCCCTGGTCATTTACACTGTCAGCTATTCGTGGTATTACAACACAGTGCTCGCTGACGGCGTAGTGATTAACGATATATTAAGGGACTTATAGTGGGATTTACACAAAATGTTCTGTTAATTTCAATGCAACACTTAAAATCTAGTCTCTGTTTATATAATGCTAATTATGATTTACCTGGTATGCTAGCTGTGAGATGTAAATGAACAACTGTGGTGTTGTGTCTGTTCACAGATCACCAACATGTCTTACTACCCAGGAGTCCCGGAGGAGCCCAACGCCTTAGTTTACAACATCAGCTCCAATATCCAGAAGCTCACACAGCTAAGTAATACTAACACACACTCACAGAGGCATACTCACTGGACACAGACACCTACAGCCAAATTACTGACCTCTTTCTTATTCCTTAGCCACTGAGCTGCAGAGGGCAGTGTCTCTGCTGGAAACAGAGCAGGATAGCAACCAGCTACGACAGACATTGTAAGTGAGTGGTTTGTTAGCATTCATGCATATCCAAAACAGAAAAATAAATTCAGACATTACTTTTTTCTTATCTAACCAGAACACAGAAACAGCAGCAGGGCAACCACTTAGCCAAAGAAATTGAGCGACTCCTCAAGACATTCAGTGGACTTCCTGTCAGCACCGATCAGGTACTGAACCTCTCTGCAAGATTTACTGAAAGAGTCTTTCATAACTTTAACTCTGTGGTTAGTCTGGTGACATGTTTTCTCTGTGTGTCTCTTAGCGACAGAGAAAACTCCAGAAAGATCGTCTCTTGAATGATTTCTCAGCCGCCTTAAACAACTTTCAAAAGACCCAGCGGCAGGCGGCTGACAAGGAGAGAGAGTTTGTGGCCAGAGTCAGAGCCAGCTCCAGGGTATCTGCTGTGAGTAAGCCACTGTGCTGCAGTCACAAGGGCAAGAGCAGAATTAAAAACAGCCACACAGACTTTTTGCGTCAAAAGAAAAAAAAACTGTGTGTAATCTATAACAGGTGTGCCTTGAGTTTTAAATTATTTTATTATCTAATTTATTACATACACAATTTAATACACTGGAAGGAAGGTTTCACACTGAGCTCAGGTCTTGCTGTGCTAAGTTTATTGCTCCGTAATTGTGACTGTTTTAGAAACACAGCTCCTCCTGGGAACCTGCTAGTGTGGCAACTCTGCTCCCTCATCAATTATTCCAGTACACAGAAAAGTACCAGTACCTGCTGTGATCACACTGATAAGCAGGAACACTTTCGTACTGTTTTTAAATGGTGGGTGAGGAACAGTTTTAGAGGAGGAGGAGAAGGAGGGAAGAAAATCTCCAAGTTTCACTTGCTCTGTTGCACCATGCAACTAGATGTGAAAACAAACTGTTCTGGAGATGCTGTGTGAAATTATGTTTAATGAGGCGGTGACGCCAGGGCTGATTTCCTCCACATAACACCTTGCACATTCTGTTTTCTTCAACAGGGAGGCCAGGCTGAGGACAGCTTTGGAAATGTGTCTCCATTTGCAGAGTCAGTTCACTCATTACCGTTATTGTCCATTATGCCAGTGTTATTACGTGTCTTCATTTTGTTCACTGCATGTTTTTGTTCCTGCAGTGATTCCCAGATGCAGGCTCAGGAAGAGGCCATCACTGAAGAAGACCTGAGGCTGATCCAAGAGAGAGAGTCGGCCATCAGACAGTTGGAGGTACCAATAAGAAAAATAAATAAATAGAATCCTACTGGATTGTGATTACAATAAATAGAATCCTACTGGATTGTGATGAAAACTGATGAAAAGTGTTGTGATGAAAACTGAAAACGGGGTTTACCTCAACTGTTTGTCTTTGTGTTCTGTGATCAAGTCGGACATTGTAGATATCAATGACATATTCAAGGACCTGGGGATGTTGGTGCACGAACAGGGAGACATGATAGGTGAGGATCTGTCACTTACTGAGCTAAAATTTGTTTAAAAGTAGATACTAATAAAGTCCGCCTTCACTCTACCGGAGCTTCTAGGGTTTTCTAAACGGCACTTTCTCTACTTTTATACCAACTGCTTTGCAGACAGTATAGAAGCCAACGTGGAGAGTGCAGACGTCAATGTCCAGAGCGCAACACAGCAACTTGCACGAGCTGCTGAATACCAGGTAACAAAAAAAACCACACACCAGGCGTAAAGAAGAACATTTATAGAAGAAAAAGAAATATTCATTTAGGAGGGTTTTTAACCTATAACCCTTGGTTTATTGTAGTGAAGTAAGTAAAAATATGGTCTGTATCCTTTTTCATAAAATGTCATTTTGACCTTCCCTCTGCCCCACCCTCCCTCCAGAGGAGTTCACGGAAGAAGATGTGCATCGTGATGATAGTGTTGGCTGTGTTGGCTACTGTTATTGGACTTATCATCTGGGGAGCCACCAAAAACTAAGACCTAGTCCTGTTCCTCCTCAGACATCAGCCTGGACTAAGAATGAAGTGCCGACCTTCCTCTCCTGTGCTCCTCCTCCTGCTCCTCTGTTTTTTATTAAACGGCCTGTCTGTCTGACCTCACGCTCCTTTACTGTAAAATGAAGCTAGCGTAGTTTGCTTTCTGGCTTTAACTGGCGGTAATTGAATGAAGTGAAATATTTCGTTTGATTTCCTCTTATGGTCACACATATGGTCATTTTGGCTGAAAATTGTTTGTGTGCTGCCTAAATATTGTTGAGAATGTTTTCACTGAGCAGTGAGAATATTCCAAAACATTTCTTTGGCTGTTTTCTCCTTGGATATATCTTATATATATATATAGTAGGATAACTTGTGAAATGCATATTTACTGTTTATACATGACCAACATGTATAGCCAAAGTGAAATCCTCAGTGTAAAAATACAGAATATAAGTAAATGTTGCACTTACAGATATATTTACTAAAGGTTTATAGTTGATTAAATGTTATTTTTAAATGATAAATCCATTAGTACTGTACATGTTCTTCGTATTTCACATCACATTTCACTGTCAGCCAATCATGTTCCAAACCTGATTTACTACACTACAACTTTGTTTGCCAAAAACACCTTAAATGCCCTTTTCCTTTGCAATAATTGCTTTAGCTACAACATGAGTGCTTCCTTTAGATCACTCTGAATTAAAACCAACCCACAATTGATTGTATTTTTTTTAAATTGTCTTACGATCAAAAGCAACTAGTGCAAAAAAGAAGAAGACAAGTTGTAGAGAAGGTGAAAGGTGACATTACTGCCACAAATGATGGTCCAGATGTGTAGATACTGATGTGACTGTATCCTGAATGAATCAGAAATGGAAACATGTTGAAAAAGGATTGGTTGATTATCATACTATTATATTCCTCAATAAAATGATTGAGTGTAACACTGTTGGGTGTTTCATTTTCCCTCTGTTTATCAGTGATTTGTTAGCAGCAGCAGCAGCTCAAACTCCAGAAAGAAAAGTTGACTAATCAGCTCATGCTGCTCTTTGTCCTCCACATCAATCGCCATAAATCTCAACTACTTTCACCAGTTGCATCCTACATTCTGTTATTCAACCTCAACACTCCCTTCGTTGCCACAACCAGTCAACACGTCAATAATCATGGTGACCTAATCGAATCCAATATCCAGCAGTAACCGCCACCTCTTTAGTCTAAAACTAAAGCAGAGCCAACAACAGACACGTGTGGAACACCTCAGGAGGCCTACTGTGTGATTTTCCATGAAAAAACTCACGTCATACTTCATCTCCTCGTTAACCATTAAGAAAGAAGGGAGTGCATTTCAGACGGACATGAGAGTGAGATCACAGGGCAGGTGAGAATCATGTCGGAACAGATGCCGTTGATGTTGGAGCGAGCTGTGGAAGTAACGGAGGGCTGTGATGCCAGAAAGTAAAGCTTTCCTTGGCACGGAAAAAGAGGCAAGAAGGATTTGGACACTGTTGTGAATAAATCAGCAGGTAGAGGGCAGGTTGAACTGGACGTCAAATAAATATGGGACAGGAAATATGTTGAGCTGGTTACACGTGCTGTTGCTGCAGGGAGCGGAGCATGATTTTCCCTTCAAACAGAAATGTCACAGAGCAGGTGGTGCAGGGATTTGTACGGACACTCGCGGAATTATGAGCTTGTTTCTCAGTTGATGTAATTTTCCTCAACATTTATTTTACTGCTTCATTTAATAAAAACATAGCTCCATACGATGTATAATTGTAGCAGACAGGAATCAGGACTCACAGCTGCTGCTCACCGGTGGATGAATCTCCTTCATTATGGAAACGCGTTTGAAGTACAGAAGATCTTTTTACCTGTTGACGTGGAGGAAATGAGGAATAATTACTGAATACATTTGGACATACAGCAGAGGCCTCACGTGATCCTTTCACTCACACCAGGATGTGGATAAATTGCAGAAATAACTCACCTGCTCAAAACATTTTGTCCAGCAGAGTCAGGTTGTCAGTGCTTGTTATAGTTGGCATCCTAATAGAGAAAAATCATCAACGTATAGTTTTGGACAAAGTATTCACACAAACCACAAACAAATACTCAGTATTTTTAAGTATTAAGGATATGGGCAGATAATGATTTTTTTTTTTAATTTAAGACAAATAACCAAGTGGAACTTAAACAAACAACAACAAAAAAACTCACACAAACCCTGTTGTATTTAATGTCAATGGAAAACTGCTTACATCTACAATTTTGTTCCTACTGTTTGCTTACTAAATTGCATATAAAACATTTTATTAATTAATTAATTGATTATATAGCTTACTTAATTAAGTAGTATGCCTGAAGGCAGTGGAAAATGTGATACTGCATAAGTACTATTCTGGCGGATTTAAAATATGCAGTTTACTTGGTACCTAATTGCAGTCAGCAGGGGGCAGTACAGGATTGCGAGGATAATCATCAAAATATTACTGTATTATTCCACTATGTAATAATTCTCAATTATGTTTTTTTTTTCATGCAGGATTGACATTGAGCATATACATGCACGATATCCTATTGTGTGAAAACAATCCTGGACCAGCTTTCCCAGCTTCTTAATCACAAATGATCAAAAAATGTGGTGTAGTCATACTCCCACAACAATAAGCTTTGAGCTTTAATCAAAGTTCTGCAGGTTCTTCAAAGAGGCCGTTTGCTCATTTTCGGGCTCTTCAATTGCAGACGTGCCCTTAAGCCAGACAATGGGTTCTTTGTCTGCTGTTGGATGCAGATCAGCCAATAATGACTCTCATCAGTTGCAGTAGTAATGGGTATAACGTGAACATTATTGTTTTAGCTGAAATGGTTATAGCAGAAGCTTTGTCCTCATCAAAACTGGATATTATTTCTACACTCCTTTTCTCTCCTATTTTCCCTTCTTTTCCTTCTCTTGCCTTTTTTCATGTGTCCTCTGTACAGAGGCTGCTTCTGTACGTTGGATCGACATAGCTGCAAAATGTTGCCTTACCACTGGATGACATTAAACCCTGCCCATGGTACCTTATTACACTTGGACCTCTACATAAAAAACAACAACAGCTAATGTCAGGATTTGTGTGTTGTGTCTTACTAAGAACAAAATCCTGACCAGCATCTCAAGACCTTGGGAGTGATTACCCCAGTCTCCATCCTTATTCCTGGCCTTGTAATCCTTAAACCTGATCCAGAGCCCCAGAGGGCAGCATTCCTCCCATGGACCCAGGAATGTAAACTTTACTTTGGAGTCCAGCTGTGGACTAGCAGGAGGAATGCAGCGTGTTTGCTGTTAAAGGCTCCTCTCTGTGGTGTGTGTACTCCCCTTCCTCCCTCTCATAAGTCATAAATAAAGATGAGTTACAGCTGGCACTGGGAGAATGACAGTTGGCGCATGAACAGAAAAACATGCAGGGCAGAGAAGTGGGTGTGTGGGTTAAGTAGATTTAGTGGTTTATTCTGGTAACTGCTGGTGTTTTTCTGAAGGGGAAGTAGCTCTCAGGTATGTGAACGGGATGTTCCACGCTGAGGGGAAACCGCTGCGCTCACCTGCAGATTCAAAGAGAAAAACAGTGAAAAAAAAAAAAAAACACACAGACAGACAGACTCACTATTTCACTTTTTTTTCTGCTTCTGCTCCATTAAACAAACAAACAGACATACAGTAATGGAAGATGATGGGAAAGAAAAGCTCATTTACGGAACCTGTCTTTCCCATCATCTCCTGTTCCTGTGTTTACACGGTAGTCCTAACTTCACCATCACTACCTCTGTTTTTTGAATCTGCAGTGACCTAAAAACAATTAAGAACATATACTACACTTGTCACTATGAAAGGTATATCTTATAAATAATTATTTTGTGGCACAGATTCAACAAGATGCTGGAGAATTCGTCCACATCCATGATACGAACATCCCGCCCCAACACAGAAGAACTGCTGGCCATGAAGAGTAACATTTGACACTCAAACTGATGCTTTTTCTTCCTTTTACAGCAACTGCGTGGCAACCTCCCATACATATTTCTTTGCAGGCATCTGCCCCACCAAAAAGGTGGTGCCCCATGTGGCAGCTGGTGCTGTCTGTGATATAGCCCTGGCCCTGCTGCAGACAACCTTGAATTAGACAATTCCCAGGTCAAATGGTGCACTGATTTATTTCTGGGTAACAAAGGAGGAAGTTAAACAGCCCCTCTCCCTATTCACTGTTTTTCTTTAAATTTTTACACCTCGTGTGAACAAGTTAAATACCATTCTGGTTTGCTCACCTCAAATCATAGTCTATATGAAGGAGGCAGTTTGTATAGAGGAATGTAACCATGAGAAAAAAATGCAGGAAGACAAACTAAAGTGACCTTGTGTGTCTCAGCCCACGTCATAACCTTCAGCTGCCTCACTGTTGGTGGGAATGATGAATAAGAGAAGGCAACTATGCAATTGAGGAATAGAAGTGTGTCTTCTAGGTGGCCATTATGTTACCCAGGAAGGATGTGGGCATCAGTCAAACCACACACACAGATCGCACAGGGATACAGATACACACACACACACACACACACATAGTAAACACACCAAAAGCAAGGCCTTTCCCAGCTGCGGCTCTTGTTATTGTAATGCAGTGGTAGGGAATAAACTGCAAGGTCTTACCATAGGAATTAGAGACTGGGTTTGTACATTGGTCGGTATTTACTTCTTGGTTTCTATAATAGTGAGTGATAAATTGTGGGCATTTGTCACAGTAAAAGCCAGAAGAATTCTACTCTGGGTTCATGAGGAACTGGACTCATATTTGGAGAATTTGGATGAAAAAGGAAAAACATGCCAGTGGAGTTAGTGAGACGGTGTTCCGACCAAACTGCATCATTTTAGGCAATTAGGGAACCAAACCTACATCATTTTCTGTGTTTGTTTTCCCCCTTAACTTCCTAGCTACATGCTGTTTAATTTATTTGAATGTGCTGGCTCGGAGGGAACACTGAAACGTAGAAAAGTAATGGAAACGGCAGGCCAAATACTCTCTGAGTTCATGCGAAGGGAAGATACACACTGTTTCAGTCGTTCATACGGAAAACACCAGATTTGTGATTAAAACTTGTTTAATATACGTGATTTGAGTCATTTGAGAGACGTTTGACGTCAGCAGTAGACAAAGCTAACAAAGCTGTGGGTCTGAAGATTGTCTGAACAGGTATTTGAGTGGGCAGGTGGGACAGTGGGGGTTAAAGGTTAAGAGGGGTTGATGGGTGGAGCAGCAGTGAAAGCTGCTCAGCAAACACAGCCTGCTGTCACAAACACGTCACAAACACGAATAAACCACACGTCTGTGAGAGTCAGAGTCTGGGGAAGTGTGTGAGAGAGGGACAGGGAGGCAGGAAGGTGAGGAGAGAGCTCACAAGAGGGAAAGGGTGAAGGAGGGAGGCCCTGAGTTTACTCACAGTGATGTGATATGTTCGTCATGTTTTCATACTGGAGGAGTTCTCAGACGGCTTGTTTCCATTTTACTGTCTGGCATTTGTTTTTAACCGTCCTGATGGATGGATGAACGGACTGTCAACAACAGACAACAACTGACAATCCAACAGAATATAGAATCATCACATCCTGCCAGGAATCATACAGCTTCACTAGCTTAAAACGGAATTATGTTAGAGTTTACACGCTGCAACTCCATCTCTGTGGACCATTACAGTACAAAACAGAATGAATGACTAGTGAACCAAAACATTTATAACAAATGTTTAGTCTTTAGGCTAAAACAGATCTAGCTTAGCATCTGGGCAACACACCTTGCCCTCCTACTGAATATGAAGTCTAATTTAGATTTTTTTTTTTATTGTAATAAGCATTATTATTTAAAGATTTTTTTGCATCATATTAAAAGAACATTTTATTTTCAATTTATGAATCAACAAAAAGTTACTAAGACTCATATACACATGTATCAAAATATATAAGAAAGTTATAACAAAGTAAATAAGAGTCATTTAGTTTTATTTTTTTAAAAGACCCTACTAAAAATGATCCGTTGAAAAATCAGTTGTTGCTTTGACATCAGTTCATGTCACACCTTCTTTCTTTCTATCTTTGAAGGATCAAACAGGACCAGTTCAACCAAAGAAACACCAGCCAAACAGGATCCAAACTAAATCCATTCCCATGTTTCTCTTCTGCGACCGGTTCAATCCGACCCTCAAAGGCACAAATCTGCCACCACATCAAATGTTTTCTTTTTAGATCTCAGTAAAGACTCACACTTTTTGCCTTAATTTATCCTGGGAATATTTGCCAAGCACACACTCTCTTTCATCAACACCCCAATTCACACATACAAAGTTACACACATTCATAGCCGGCCGCTGCCCCTCACAACCACAGGCTTTCACTGTTGATCCAGTGGGCTGCTCCCCCAGACCAATAAGGACGTTAAAGAAACTGGCTGAAGGGCATTTCCATAGTACTAGCTGAAGGAAAGGAGGGCAGCTCACACTGGACTCACTGATCTACAGTGTTCGACACATCTGGGAGCCAACATTTCACTTCTCATCTATCTAAATTTAAACTTTATGAGCCTTCACATGCAAGACTTTTATTTGTAAGATATTGTAAGATATATATTTATAAGCAAGATCAAAATTGAAACCATTTTTAAAATTTGATATTGATGTAAATTAGTTGATTTACAGTAAAAGTGAATGAGGACTCACCTGTTTATATACATCTGTGAAACAAATGATAAAACATGATATAAACCTACTGTACATATAAATTATTTTATTTTGAAATACACTTTAACTGAACCAATAAAACAGAAGTCAACGGCACAACAACTTGGAAACAAGAGAAAACTTGTATTTGTTTTCTCCCAACACTTGTAAATCCAAGCTGTAGAATTAAGAGCCTTTTTTAAAATTCCTTAGACTGAAGTTAGAGAGGAAGAGAAGAGGAAAGACAGTGCAATCACGTTAGATTTAACTGTTAATTTTTGAAATTTTAACAGAAATTAATGCAGTGGAGGACCCAGCCCAACAAAACCCAAAAAATGAGAGGAAGAACATCCTAAAAAAAACAAATAATAAAAAAAAATCCAACAGTCAAAGTTACATATACAATCACAACAGAAACATTGACGAAGACTGGAGAAGTCCAAGCCAATAAATTGAAATTAAAAGACTGAAAACACCAACATTAGGGACTAAAAATCATTAGGGACTAAAAGTCACTAACTGTTCTATCGTTCATCAGCAGCAGCCGAGACGCCAATCAATAATAACTGCGTACAGGTGTGGCTTTTAAAACCAGAGGCGCACTTTCTCAGTCTGACTTCTCTGGGTCACGTTGAGAAAAATAAAATTAGGAGATTAAAGTCGTAGATTTATGAGAATAAAGTCGAGACTAAAGGTTGTTTTATTGTCTTTCACACATGAAATCACAGGCTACTGTGGTGTACAGGCTGTGGCTCTCCTGATGTGCGCTGTCTGACGTCACAGCCCACCGTGCGCCACTAAGAACATTTGCGGACATATTTTACAATTTGCGCTGTAATCATCTTTTCTTCTTCCTTCCTTTGCGAGCGTTTGCGTTTCTGAGGACGTGGTGGAGCACTGAGTGTAGGGACGTTTTTATAAGGTGCGGGTTTTGTGACAGCGCCACACGCACCACAGCCCGCTGGTAGTTCAATAGATGACGCAGCATTTGATGGCCTAGTAAAGGACGGTTCCGTTTGTAACTGGACGAAAGTCAACCCGATATTATTTGTTTAACTGGAGAATTTGACCTAACCAAAGGTGTAAAGGGGTGTCTTTATTTATGGAATTGCAGTGAAATTAGAAATAGAAATAACTGTGTTATCTATGTGCTACAGATAAATAACAATAATATTCATAATAATAAATAACACAGTTGAAAGAATGCCAAACAGAAATAATGAAATCATAACAGCTAAAACACAGTACAACTAAGAGAACTATGTGTATCAGCTGCAGTTGGCTCCGTTCTGTCAGCGAGACTCTTGACGGACTGAGGAGGATGAGGATGTATGAATCAAGATGGATCCTACTGAATGGTCCGACTGTGGCCGACTGTCCAGGTGACGCGCTCACTGCTCACATCCTCATAAAATCCCCGTCTCCAGGTGACATGTTTCCATGCTCAGACCAGTTTGAACTGCCCCGGGCTAGGACACAGCCGGTCTCGCATCAAACAGTATTTTTAATCAAATGGTTAAAAGCTATTGCACAAACATTCTAAAGTAGCTTAGGTCAACAGTGTCCCAGAGCCTGTTCTGTTAGCTGGAATGCTCCTGCGCGCTGCAAACAGGCCTGTCTTTGTGCTGCAGTCCAGCAGTCTCACGCCACACCACACCGCTCTGGAATCCTGTTTGTTTTCTTTCAAATTTCTCAACCTGGTTGAGTTGAGTTAGCACAGATGTGTGTGTGTGTGAGTGTGTGTGTATATTCAGGTTAAGATGTGCATTTTAAAGTGTGCCTCAGCACTGTAGCCATACAGCAACAGTGGCGCTCATTGAGAATGTGCTCATTTAAGCTGGTGCCAAAGTTGACAAGCTTTACAGAGGATCTCACTGGAGACTTGGAATATCATAAAGTATGAATGTATCAGAGACTTTGAGTTCACAGCCAGCGGTTAATGTGAGGAGTTAGAAGATCAATGCCTGTATAACCTGCTTCTGTTTGGAATCAGCAGGGATCTGGTTTGCTTGGGACTATTGTACATTTCTATGCACTTATGAAAAACTTGTTTTTTATCTTTGCCTCTACAACACTAAATCTGATTATCTAACCAATCATCTTTAGTTATACAGAACACTCTACATTTTTAATGGTTACTGGGAGATTTTCCTCTCACTTGAGTTTAATCCGCCGCTCCCTCTTTCCTGATTTTTATTATGGGCTGAACACCAGAGGAGTTTATGATCCCTTAAAATGTTTGCAGAGCAAATGAAGATCAGTGATTTTTATTCTCTGGTTGGTAGCTAGAAAAAAAAATGTTTGTGAAAGTGAAATTTCACAGTATGGACTATGTCTGTACACAAAGTTGTTTTGATTAAAAGCTGTTTTAATTCATTTAAGATTAATTTAATTTTTTAACATCTAAACGTACAGCCCATTCAGACTTTAATTTGAATGGGAAAACACACCGTGTTAGTGCTAGGTGAGTCTTTTGGTTTGTTAGATTCTTATCTTTTCCTTTATTTCACCTTTTTAGATAATAACTTTAAAGAATCGATGACGATCAATCTCAACAGTAGCCCCCTAGCTGCGACTACAGCCAATCACAGCTCATGCAGAGTCAGAGGTGGGTTATGACCTGCACAAGCCAGGTCTGTGACAGACGACCATTCACACTCAATTTCACAACTCCAGGCAATTTGGAGGTGAAAACTTCTTCTCACCTGCATGACTGCAAGGAAACTCCTGCAGACACAGGCATCCCTGCCACAGAGAAATTGCACAAGAGACCCAGGCTGTAGGTTTACATAACACAAACCTGCTATTCCATGTGCAACTGATGCGATTTAGAAATACTGAGATATTAGTTCTGGTTGTACAAGAAGACTGGTTGATGTTCACAGAAAAGAAAATCAAAATTCACCAGCCAAGTGACAGCGAACACCCGCCAGCATCGTCATTTTCTGTAAATGCACAATGGCTGTGTGATTCAGGACAACACTACTCTGACGCACAACGTCACTATTTACTGTGTGCACAGTGTCCTGCGCTCAAGTACTTAACGTTAGAAACAGCAAAGGTCTTTGTGGTGAAGTTACTGTTTCCTGGTACCATGCAGTTATGAGTGTTTGTATTATGACAGTAACTGGAGACACCCATTGGAAATAAGCTTTAAACAACTACCTGTTAATTAGTTGTACTTTTGTTCTCCAAGAGCTACTTTTACAAAATAAAAATGTCTGAGCGCTACTAACATTTATTTTCAAAGCTAAATTTGAACAAACAACCTCAATATGTTTTCTTTGACAAAACAATTATAGTATGTTACTGTCTACATATCACATTTTAATAAAACATCACCAGATTGTTTTATTATTATTATTGTTGTTGATTGGCAGCCTGTCAGTCCACAAAGAACGTCAAATATTGTTCCTCCATTTTGACCAAATAAGTTTTTATTTTTAAATTTTATTTTCTGCAGAATGTCGCCGTCTACTGGCCAACCGACCACACTCTACAAGTGTGTGGCAATCGTCATGAAAGATTCACACTGTGCGGTAGCGAACTTAGCTCTAGCTTTAGTTACACGGATATTAAACTGTAGCGAAATCAAGTTTGAGATATTAACGTGTTCCACAAAGGTATGGTAGCGGAGTGACACATTTTATGATCAACCTTTATTAAGAAATGCTCCGCCAACAACAAGTTCCGGTCTAAGGTTTGTCTGCACGGCGGGCCTTCCTTTGATGTGCTATTGCACATCAACGATTGGTTGTTGATAAGTGCGATAGCTCTGTTTAGACAACAGAGGGAGTGACGTACAGACAATTGTAGAGGTGCAAGCGCACATCAGATCGACCAATCGTTGAGGTGCAATGGCACATCACTAAGAACCAATCGTTGAGGCGCAATGGCACATCAGTTGTATTTCTCCCTTTCGTCAGTAGAGGGCCCAACGTGCAGACAAACTCTTGCTAAAACCGAACAACCGACCGCATTTCTTCATAAAATCTTATCATAAAATGTGTCACTCCACTACCCTACCCTTGTGGAATATTAAGAAAAAATAGATTTCTTCCGATAGTAGAAAAACGAAATAAAAAATTAAAATAATGTTACAAATGATTAAAAAACGTTTATACTACTACTGTTTGATATCCGTGTAACTAAAGCTAAGTTCGCTACCGCACAGTGTGAATGCTGCATTTATCTGTCATGACAATTGCCCAACTCTGGTTATAAGACGACGACAGTCTGCAGAAAATCAAATTAAAAAATAAAAATATATTTACAATATTTAAAAAAGTACAAGAGACAACTATTAAACCCACGATTTTTCAATTGGATGACTAACTTTCTTAAACGTTTACTACTCTCTTATTCTTTTACTTTATTTATTATGCTTATTTATTTACTCTCTTACATTTTACTACTAGACCACCACTATTAAGTCACTAATGAATTTTGATTCATATTTTGATTCATATTAAAATAACTATTCAAAAACAAATATTGATTGGTTAGAGATTTTGCTATTATTAAACTTTAATCTATATTGCACATAAAAAGTGACAAAAATAGATTAAAACAAAGTGACAAAATATGAATATTATGGTAACATGTTGGGGCATGCCTAGTAATTTTTTGTGTTATTGCCAGCATTGTTCCTGAAATTACTGTTCTGTGTTGTTCTGTGCATTATTGGTCGGTAACTTATATTTTCCCTTTGAGTTCTTCCTGAGCAGTTATTAAATAACTGTATTTTTTGCCACTGTATTAGTTGCCAGTTGTGGTACTAGTGGTTTAGGTGGTTAATTAATTAATGGCATAATCGCTTGAAAAGTT